AAGAAGAAAGGCTTTCTTTTTTTGTTAGGAATGAGGTATTAAGTGGGTTTCTAAGTCTCTGTTATTTTTGCATCTCAGTGGCAGACATTCATCCAGCTAGAGGTAGCTGAGAATAGAGTTTACTGACCCAGATATTTTCCTTTAGCACAGCACTTTAATATACATCAGTGTAGTAGCATCTGTAGCCCATTCTAACAGGGCTCTAGTCAACGTCCTGTTTTAACAGCACTGATGTGTTTTTTCTCAGTTCTCTGTGGTGATTTACCCACCAGAGTACCTGTAAATGGCAACTAGCAAGATGTCAAATACATTAACAACTCTTGAAACTAGATGAGTATATTGCAAATGTAAAAGTCTTACTTATTACACTGGGGGAAAAGAAATCACCAGAACAGGTCTACAATATGGCAGACAGGTTTTCTGAGACCTAGAGATATTGAACATTTCTAAGTGTAAAATCTGCATAAATACTTTAGCATGTGTCCCTGTTTTCTCATGCTTCTGACTACAAAAATGAAAGGGTGCTGGAAAAACTAGAAAGACTGTATAAGTAAAGAAGTAAATCCACATTTTAGGAACAATTTCTGTCTCCTTGTAACTGTACTCATAAAATGCAGAAACAAAACTCATGCTTTCTTTCTGGAAAGGTCAAGACAGTATCTAGCACAAGACATTAGGATCTAATCCAACAACAAATCATATGATTTTATGCCTCAGTGTTTTACAACCCTTATTTACTTTCTCTTTTTTATCCACATTTAAATGTGACAAGAAAAAAACAAATGGGTAGCATTTGGGGATGCATTTCCAATAGAAGTTTTGAGAAAATGCAAGGAGTGTGTGCAGCCCTTTTCATTAGTGAATCATTCAAGCACGACATTAGCCTAACATAAAGCTGCACTGGATAAGCAATACAGGTCTGCTCAAGATGCTCAGGCTTCCTCAGAGGCTGCTAGTCTGGGACTCAAAATATAGCAGCAATATTCCCCCAGACCTGCTGCCTTGTGTGTGGTTTAGCAAGAGTTAGTGAAGGAAAACAAAAGCTGCAGTTATGTTGTTTGGTAATGGTCTGGCTTTGCTAGGTAAAGTAGAAATGGTGATGATACAGGTGTTTCAGCAGCCAGCATGCTGCAGCTTCAAGCCTCATCTTCCAAAACCCATTCTGCAGAACCATGAGGGCTGAAATACTTTCATTTAGCCTTTTAAAAGCAAATGTCACTATACTCAAACACCTCTGGCATCCAATAGTGAAAGCAACGAATACAACTGCAAAGATACAAGGCAAACAAGTTATACCTTCAGTTATACCTGAAGAATGCTGCGAATCAGGACTAAGATTTTATCAACAGCGATGAAGATTTTATCAACAGTATGACAACATTTGTTCCTTGTTTAATTACAGTACAGTCCTATTTTAAACCCTCCACTTTGTGAATTAACAAGAACATATGTTAAGTCTTAATGCAAAGAAGAAACAATTGATCTTCCCAGAATCATTGGAAACCATGACAGGGTGAAGACCTGTCTGTAAGGTCCAGGTTAATGAAAAGCTGTTTCACCAGGTTGGGAGGCAACAGTTCAAGGGATGACTAGCTGTGAAAAGTTTTTCAAAAAACCCGGCACGAGTAAGAGTAGTAGTGTGCTGCAGGTTGTCCAAAATCATCTTCAGGACCTGTGACAGAATAATGTTGCAGGAGAAGAGTCAGAAATCACTCAGACAGATCTGGTCTGGTAGTTAGTGTATTGATTCTAATCAGTAAATTTAGATATGTAAAATATTATTTAATAAGTACAGATGGATTGGCGGTCAATACTGGACCAAAGTTCAGATACCTCAAACAGGAGGAGTGCATCCGTCACAGAGAGAAAGCAGCTATGGATAGTTACAGTTAACTTAAACTATAAGGAGAGACTGAACGTATCTGTTTACCATCCTAAGAGATTTTGTGCGTTCAGAATGACCAAAAGTCCACAGTGTCACCTGAGCCTTTGAGAAATCAAACTTGCAGCATTTTTAAAAGAAGTAACATGATAAGTTGCCTTGGTTCTGTCTAAAACTCTAGTTCAGTCTTGACCATGTTCCCCAAAATGACAATAATTCTGGTATGAGTCTGAGCACTCTTGCCATTTCCATCTTTTTTCCTAATTATTTACCTTCTTTTTCTTTATTTTACTACATGAATTACACTAGACCTCTTAAAAATAATAATAAAGTAGTGGTTAAAGTGGAAAGACAGCTTTTTTATTCTAATATAAATTACATAGTTCTATTTTCTTGTTAATACAGCAGCAATTTGTTCTGCTGAAGTAGGTTTAATTTTCTGAGGCGTGCAGGGAAGAGGGCTGAAAGAGAAGTTGGAAATTTAGGGTTATATGTGGTCCAATACCTGCAAAGTGCTTCCCTTAGTTTTCTTGTGGTGATAAGCTGTTCAGTGCTTGCAATTTATATGATGCCTTCTAATTAAGCTGGAGTTCACTTAGCATGAGTTTTGTTTGAGATGTACTTTGCTCTTCTGCTGAACTCCTGTTGTTCAATATTTTCAGTCCCCAATGCACAGACAGCTTCACCTTTGGCCTTAAAGAAGGAGAAGGTCATTATGCTCTGTGGTGGTGCCACCAAGAGCCATGGTGCCACCAAAAGCAGTGATGCAAACAAGACATTCCCTGCTTGCCAGGCTGTCATGCTTCCCTTCAGTGCTATGGAGGTGCCTGTTCCTGCAAAAGTTGTGTAGGAAATCACAAAGCATTGTGAGGATGTTATGGTCAGATTGTTACGTGGCAACACTGTCTGCACCAGCTTATTGTCAGCACCTGCCAGAGCTGCCCATGAGAAGAAAGAGCTTCCTCTTTCCCACTGGGTAAGGGAGGAAGGCTTTCTCTTCCTTCTGCCTTCTGACCCGCCTGCCTGGCTGCTAACCTCTGTGGCACATTTTTTCATCTGTGGCATAGGAAGCACATCATGAGCATGTACATTAGAGGGGCTGATCTCGTCAGCTCACAATTTTATTGTGTTTTGAGATGAGACATACATGCAAATGTGTCTTTCTACCCACATTATTTGTGCTCTGCAGGTCAGAGGAGCAGACTGCCTGCACTGCAGGGAAAGTTTTGTTGCCAGTCATTGAGGAGATAAGAAAAACTTTAGGAAAAGCATCAGGAGACATTTCTTTACAGAGAGGGTGGTCAAACCCTGGAACAGGCTTCCAAGAGAGGTGGTCAATGCCCCAAGCCTGTCCGTCTTCAAGAGGCATTTGGACAATGGCCTTAATAAAATGCTTTAACTTTTGGTCAGTCCTGAAGTGGTCCGGCAGTTGGACTAGGTGATCATTGTATGTCCCTTCTAACTGGAACTATTCTATTCTATATACTATTCTATTCTATTCTATTCTATTCTATTCTATTCTATTCTATTCTATTATGTTCTATTCCATTCCATTCTATTCTATTCCACTCCATTCCATTCCATTGCATTCTGTTCTACTCTAAAAGTTGTGGTGTGCGGGTAGACATTAAGTGGTTTGCCAAAAACATCTGTAAATTCCAGGGGGACACAGAAAATAGATCATTAGAGTATCATTTGCAGTATTTATGCTTTGTCTCAGGAACACTTTGAAGGGTCAAACTGAGACGAATTTGAAAACAATATCCTTTAACTGGGGAGGACACCTAACATATGTGCTTTCTCACATTAATTGTTTTAGGCATCATCTAAATCAGTTGGCTAATTGAGCTAAGCCAGCTTCCTATTACTTCATCCAGTTTGCTTTTTCAGTCTCTAACAATGCTGTACTACTGTCAGTGATGCCAGTCTGCTACCTCCCTTTGAACCCCCTAGAGCTCTAGAGTCAAGCGAAGGTAGAATAGGTGCTGCAGCAGGGCTACTGGATTTCTTGGGATACCCTCTGCAGGGCTATTTCAGCTGGCAAAATGATGCTTGTCACCAATGTGTTGTCTTAGCCTTGACCACTTTATATATCTCCTTTCCCCACCACGGTACACTGTTCTTTGTGCCCTGATGTTTGCTGACCTCTATCCCAGATGGTGCTGCCGTTCAGTACTGCTGTATGAGTAAGAATCTACAGATGCAGGGACAACATACGCTGCTGAATATGAATGTAAAATATGTTTACACAATTCCTAGTTAAAGGTAGCACTTACTGAATAAAAAAGATTGAAGCAGTCGGTACTGGCAAAAGGAAAAAAGATAAACATATAACAGGTATTCATATAAAAATGATGATATAGGTTACATCAGTAAAGGAAAGGCACTAATAAAAAGCTGCAGTCTCAGTTGCTTCACAAGAAGCAGAGGCCAAGAGTAGCTATTGCCATGGCAACAAAAGGAGCCAGGGGATTTACGCTTCTATATGTTTCAGTGCAGTCTTAACCAAGAGTGAAACTGGCTTGAAAGAACAGCAGCATTGTATTCATTCTTACTCTTTACGAATTGTGTATCTCACCTCACTGCCTCAAAGCTTTTAGCTTACAGTGGTAGGGCCCTGTCCACACATGACTAAAGATGTTTCTGGACATGTTAGAAGCCTAACTCAAGATTATTTCTCTAACTTCTGCTGTATAAAATCATGAGGTTGAATAGATTGCTAATTTTGGTCGAATATATTTATTCAATGCTGTATGCCAAAAATTAGGTCCACAACCTGTAACACACCTAATTCCTCCTAGTAATTTATTGGGAACACTAAATATAATGTTACCATAACACAAGAACATTTCCTTCATCTCAAATTTCACTCTGTAAGTATCACTGAAGACTTTTCTTCCATATGCTTATTAATACAATTTCTATCTTTAGTAAGTTTTGTCTCACAAAAAATATTGTGTGTTAATCCTGGCTAATAAGTTTCTAACAAAATGTATAAAGTAACATCATCTTATAGCCATCAGGACATTCTGAGATCCAAATGATGCTGCCCTGATTTAATTTCTTTTTAACAAAATCAACCTGGTTTCAATAACGGTATTGTCTTTTAACATTTCAGATCACAGTATTTCGCATGGGATCAGAAGGACACCAGGATATTGATTTAGCTATTCTGACAGCGCTACTGAAAGGTAATGGAGTTTCACTCCACAGTAAGTCTGTATCAATCCAAATGGATTAACTCTGTGTCTCTGCTGTGTTGAAACCTGCATTTATTGTCAATATCTGCTGTATCGAGATGGCAAATTTATGCTGTGAAATTGAAGTATACTTTTTGCTCTAACTGCTGTATACAAATCCAGCTCTTTCTTTAATGTTTAAATAGCTGCTGCTTTTCCGTTCTGAATTTTTTTTTTCCACCCACAATCACTAATGCATCACAAAATACATCAGTGGTGACCCCTCACCAGTTATTTGAGAAGATCAGTACTCACAAGAGGACAGCCAAAGAAATTCTTAGACTTAGGTTACCTTGGTGGCTAGTAGAGCGTCTGGAACAAGGTTATCTCCCCTTAGATAAAACTGGTGCTATAGTCAAAATAAAGTGTTCTCTGTAGTCATCCTAGGAAAGTCTGGGAACTGTATGGGATTCCTTCCAGCCTCCGCTGGTAGAGCTAAGAACTCAGCTGTTGGGGTTGTAGGGGTTCTAATCTTAAGTTTCACAGGACGCTAAATCTTTCTAAGCCATTACATGTTACACTTATGGTCTTAGAAGATTGTCTTACAGTAAATCTTCTGTTGCTGCACTTCATTAGAAACCCTGGCCTTGCAGACACTTAGACTATCTAGCTTGGCTCCCTTCAAAATACTTTATCAAGTAATTTAGTATCTGCTTGCAAAGAGTGAAACTGGTGAGATTTTATAGGCTCCGAAGCACATGTACTTACCCAGTGAAGAATTACTTACCTAAGCAAGGGCTGGGAGGTTCTAGCCTCCATTTATATAGTATTTCCCAAAATGGTATTTTCACAAATTGCATGTATCAATCACCGTGGTCATCTCATTGCTGCCTGGACTGTTTTGTGCTGTGTGATACAGACCATGCTGATTTTAAAAACAGAGAGTAAGACACACCAAACAATTTTGAAGAGCAATCTGAGAAACATTAGGTAATGGAACTCCAAAGGTGACTGGGGAAAGTTATGCTTCATGAGACTCCTTAGCAGCTGTCATCACATTATTGCCACCCCCACTCCTGAATAAGAGCTTTCATAATGCCACATGGCAGACCTGAATTTGAGTCATAACAAAAAATTTAATAGATTTACTGGGTATTCAGAAGGTAATGGGAATTATTCTTGCTTGTTCCAGGGCTCAGTTTTCTTCTCAGTTTCTTCCTGTGCAGGTTCACAAAAGCTGTATGAAGAGAAAAGGGAGAAGACCTGAGTAACTTTCACCTAACCAAGCAGAACAGTGTTTTATCTTTTATACAATTGTTAATCCCATTTCAAAAAGGTTGCTTCAAACATTTAAAACAAAAATCTGAACAGGAGGAGTAAACAAGCACTGGTAACTTCAGAAGTATGACTGCAAGCTGATAGCTACCAACCATGAGCTGGAATTATTTCACTCCAGTAGCTTTTGTTTCTTTAAACTTCTGTACTATTGGTTTCTCCACTTCTTTTGCTTATTTTGATCAAGACACCAGTTGTTTGTCCTGCAGGTGACATGACTATTTTGCTGCTACCCTGAGGTAACAAGTTTTAGCCATCCGCATAATTAATCTCAAGGCATTTTGGACATCTTCACACAGGGACAATATAAATCAAGGTGAACAAAGGAGAAAGAAATTAACTCAGAGGAAGAAACAAGAATTGTATCCATAACCAAATTCATTAGGAAATATTTTAATTGCAGATTTAATTTTTATCTTAAATGTAACTACATCCTTCATCATCCTTGGTGTAAAGCATTGATGCCATGAAAAGCTGGAGCTGAAGACTCAATAGTCAAGAGGGCTATTAAGCAGGTATTCTTTATTGCGGCACCGGGCACATGGGGGATCTCTCCTCCAAACGTACGCGCCAAACACCCTGTCATTTCAGGTTAAATACAATCACAGTATACATATTCATTATATTTCCAAGAAATATTTAGCATATTCATGACTTTTCCAAGAACAAATTAGCATATGTTAATATCTTTCACGCATGTCTGTTAGTGTCCTCGGGTGGTCTTTGGGGGTCTCAAGATGAAGGCTTATACTCCTCATCACAGTATCCACTGGTTGACCTTTGTTTCTGCGCAGACTCAGTTCTAAGATTACGTATGCCGTGTCCTTCCAGGTTGTTTTGCTCTGGTCTTGTTGCCCTCTTGGTGCCTCTTTGTCTCTGTAGCTTGGTGCATCTGCCCTCCCAAGGCTGAGCTGTCTGGGGTAGAATTATTTAGGAGCCTCTCTATCTTAGAGCTTTCCTGCCTTCTCAAAACAGCAAGTCGAGTTTGTCTAAGTAGTGTTATTGAGGAGCCTCTTTATCTTAAAGCTTTCTTGTCTTCTCAGAACAGCAAGGATCTAGTTTAGTTTAATTACAATCACTCTGGTAAGTGGAAATTTTACATTTACAGGTATCAGTATCTTCTCATCACATTTGTTCTTAAGACAATCACTGAAACTGCTGCTCTTCATTTCTATTACTGAGAGACAGATTGTCTTAAAGTTGTGATTCCACTTTTTCTAGGTATATTTTCAAGATGTGAATCCCAGCATAGATCTCTGGAATCTTTAACCACCTTGAAAGCTGCCTCTTGGAAACTGAAGAAAATAAATCATAGGCCTGGGAGGGATTGTTTTCTGTTTGAAAATTTCTTTTGCAGTATTTACATGAAAAAATGTACTATGGTTGCAGTGTAGTCCTCTCTGATCTGGAATATCCATTTTTCAAATGCCTAATTGGTCCTGTCATCTCATTAGTAAAATAAAATTGCCTTCCCTCTTCATAGTATTAGTGCAAAACTTTGTAGAGAACTTCTGTTAGCTGAGAAGGTGCCTGGATCTGTGTAAGCAATTTTGACATCTCCTTTCATGCTTGCCTGACAATCTTGATTTAGTAATCTGCTGATGGCAGCAGCACTTTTGCCTTGCTCAAGAGCCAGAGGAACTAAAACTTGCACCTCATCTTCCCTGTCCTCAGCACTTTCCAATTATGAAGGTACTCAATGAAGATTAGATTTATCTGATTCCTCTTGTTAATCTGAGCTTCCTGACCACAGGCAATGAAAGTCCATATAACTTTTTAATCAATGTGTGCAAAGATGGGATCTCTTGTCTTGTGCAAATCAGTTGTCCTTATTCATACCTTCATACAAAGATTCTGGCCCACCCAGAAAGAAATACTGCCCTCCTGTAAAAATACACCATCAGGCTGATGGATAGTTGGGTTTTTCATCAAATCAAGAAATCTAAGGTAGCAATGCTGAACCACTTGTCTGTTGATTTACTAGTAAGCAGATTTGAAGACTGGGTCTGAATTATCTTGAAATTCTTAAGTTTGGATTCAGGAATTGATCTCTTTCACCACTTCAGTACTGTGTGAAAAGGGAGCAGAGAAAAGTAAGAAACTGGTGAGTGATTATTGGTTACTTTTTCTCAGTCTCACTGATGACGATTTTGCTGTTCTTGCTAGCCAGTATCCAAGGTGCATAGCGGCTAATCACCAGTCCCACCCTGGTGTCAGTGATTTGTTCAGGGAGTAAGAGGTGGACAAGGATTGGGACACGCAAAGTATAATTTCCTGCTTGCTGTGTAAAATTGGTGATGAGCTAGTCTGTTTTTAAGCCCCCATCAGGCATGCTGCCAATGAAGGAACTCTCCTGGACAGCATATGCCACAAGCCCCAAACCCTGCACTGAATATGAGAGATTATTTCCCTGTTTGTTTTCGTGAATCACTTGTTTAATCTTGTTAGCAGATCTGTCTTTCTTGGAAGTGATCTCCAATAAACCAGGGAATGGCATCCAAACTGGTTATCAATTTACATTGCATAAATGTCACAACAGCTTTTGGCTTGTGAATTCCTTTTTTTTTTTTTTAATTTCGAGAGACAAGCAAGTGTGGGAAGTAAGTTTCCAATTGCATGAATTTGTAACAAGTAAATTTATTGATACAGTTTAGCTGTGCTCTCTTGAACAGTTGGAACTCAAACAGTAGTGGATTTTGTCCTTTTGCAGCTGCTAATTGAGCAGAAGGCATATGACAGGGAAGTTAAAGACAGCATATGGAGATGTTCTAAAATATAATTGTTTTGAAGCGGCATCAAAGATCCTAGTTCACGAAGCTGTTGCAATGTCTGGAGCACACTAGCAGCACCAGGCATGTTTCAGCTGATGCTCCAGAAGCCTTCCCAGTGAAATTGTTAGCATTGGGAAAGAGGTACTGTGTGGCATATGCATGTTGTAATGTTACTGCCGTGTAACCCTTTGAGATAAGCCATGTTAGGCTAATGCGGATCTGGTGTCTCTGCATACTTTCCAGCCTGTGAATAAGCCATGATTCATGCTCAAGGAACAGCCATCGAGTAGTATCAGATGGGCCTGGAAGACAGTGTGACAGTCTACCAACCATGAAATCACAGACACAGAAGAATTTCAGAGTTACACCAGATAGATGGTTACAGCCCTTATAGTTGTTGTTGCTATGAGCTTTGTTATTGTCAATTGATTTGCTAAATGCCAAGAAGATACTTGTAGCAAATGCAGTGGAAACACAGCCTTTTCACCAAAGAGCTGCTGAAACAGAAGACGATATAAGACCTGCTGAGATACAGAGCAGAAAGTTAATCTGAATTGCTATATTCCCTAATCTAATTATTTTCTTTAAATGATGGTTCAAAGAGGACACTGACATGCTTAGAAGCACTGTGGAAATGAGTCCCCGACAACCCTTTCTGACTAGATAGATCAGTTTTGTCTCATTTCAGCTTTCCAGATTGCTGAACACTAAGTATCATAGACTATCCCAGGAGAATCCTTTAGTGGTTTACATTGATCACAGTAAACTTTAGCCAGTATATAAAAGCCTGTAGTCTATCTCTTCAGTAATCTGGGATCCTGCACCTGACAGGTACCCTGGCTCACCTGGGATACAGAGTCAAGTTTAAGGTCCCAGGCTTTATCATCAAGAAGTATTACATTTTTGGTCCAAGATACTGGGTAGATCATCTGACTCTTTACCAGAAGAAGCTATGCAATCTGTCCAAGCACTCCTGGATGGCTGCCTAAGAGCATAAAGTTAGCACCTGCAGGAACGCACAGCTGTCCCAGATCTCCTTGTTCATTCAACTTTGCACCATCCTTGCATTGTCTGTCTATATCCAGCAATATCTATACTGAAATAAAATACTGCCAAATCAGTGCATTGCATCCCAAGTTTTGGCTTAAAACATTCTTTTGAGGAACATATCTTATGCTCAGCTAGACACCAGGATACTGAGTAAATATTACATAGACATTAGTCATATTGCCTCAAACAATATTTAAAGCAGTATGTTTACTACGGTAATTAAAATTATACGATGCAACTAATCAGAGAATCTTTCACTGAGACAGGATGAAACAGAAGTGTAGGGAGAGGAAATGCTAATTTCTCACCACTCACAGTGTTAAGATCCTAAGAAGTGGATCTGTTGTTTGCTTCAGAAAGAGGGAGAATATTATTTGCTCTCTGTACTTAATTTACATTGTCATACCCACTGCGGCTAGTTTTTTTCTGGTTTTATAAATAAAATTGTGGAAGCATTTTTGCCCTTCCCAAAGGTAAATATTTTCTGTTCTTGAATGTTGCATGTTGCTTGTGTAAGAAACTCAGAAAGGTTCATATGTCATTGGCATCCCCCATGAGGTCTGTTGTGAGAGCTATTGTCTGAGTTGTAGTATATAGCAATGATAAGCTGTGTCTTATGAAAAGGCTTGTTCCTGGTATGTCTTAGCCACAGAAAGGTCTGTTACTGTTTTCACTGGTTTTCCTTCTATTCTTCATATACTTCTATTGTTCTGCTCGTGCATCACCTACGTTTTTATCAGAGTTCATTTCTTGGAATATTTATTTGGAATAAAATGGAAATGATCTGGATGACGTACAGCCCACCGTCGCCCAAATAATTGCTGTAGATATTGCCAAGTATTTGGCAAAGCTTCATGGCAGTGAACTGACTGCAAAGTTGAGAGTTATGAAATTAAACTGTAGACTAAGCTTCCCAAAGGTCTGCTGAACTGATCCCTCACAGAGAATTTCAGCAGCCAGCACATTAAGCTTCACGTTTTCTGTGCCTCCAATTTCAGAGTCCACTTTCAGCTGGAACAATGCGTGATTTTGAATAGTACTGAAATGGGGACAGAAATGCTTTGAAGTAATGAAAAGCTCTTGTTTGTCCTCACTCCATGATATCAGTATAAGGATTAATAAAGACAAGAAAACAGTGGAGGTAGGAGGCCTTTAAAAAAATGAGCCTTTGTGCAATCAGCAAATCACTGCAAGCAGATAGTATTTAAAAGTCAAAGGGCCTTTTATTTATTTGGTTGATCAGTTCATTTGGGCCAGTTCTCCCTGTGACGCTGAAGCACAAATACTGTTTTATTATTACAAATCAGCTAATAACTATTAAATCCTCAGTGAAATATTAAAAATGCACAGCAAGGCAGGAATGTCCCACAGCGTCCATTAAAACTTCAGGGAAAAACATACCCTTACTTCCAAAAAACAAACAGCTCCAAACCCGTCTTATCATCTGCACAGTTTCTTATTTAATTCGAATATATTATACGTTGACATCAGCTTTATTGCATGCTTTCTTAGATAAATATTGCATGTGTGAAGGGAAATATGTCCCACCAAGACACCTCAGTTCAAACAGACAGAGGAGAAATTACTATGCTTGTACAGGATCCACACTTTATTGGGTGAAAATGCATGAAAGGTGTACATGGAATGCATGACTATTGAAATTGGTGGGATCTGTGTGAGTTGAACCTGTTTGTAATTGCTAGATGCGTGTGTGTGTGTGTGTGTGTGTGCTGGTGTGCATGTGTGTGCGTGTGCATATTCCTGCAGCTGGATCAGTATCCCTCCTGGTTTCTGCTCTTGCTTCCCATCTGAGAGGTGGGAATCCAGTTCACTCTACTGCAAGTTGCATCTGCTGATATCATGTGTACCTACTGTGTTTTCCAAGGGGGATATGAGGAAATAATTAGTGTTTATGAGACATTCTGAGAACTATAGATTCAGATCAGAGAACCAGTGTTTCATCACAGGGACAATGGAACGTTTGGTTTTGTTTTAATTTGAAATCAGGTGCTTGCAGAAATGGCATGGACATCTGTGAGACTTTTGACAAAGAGGAATTAACATGGTGGTCTGTTGTCCGAGTCTAAAATATGTCTTGTTTCTTTTTTCTCCTCCTCTCCTCCCTGCACCCCTGACTCTATACACAGGAGCTAACGCATCTGCTCCCGACCAGCTGAGCCTAGCATTAGCCTGGAACAGAGTAGACATCGCCCGCAGTCAGATCTTTATTTATGGGCAACAGTGGCCGGTACAGTATATATACAGCATCTTCTACTGAAAACACTTTAAACCCTACGCAACATTAAATCCATTCTGTTGGCAGCGGTGCTTTTAACACAGTTTACAATATACTGAGTCACTCTCGCAGCCAAACACAAAGTTCCCGTTCACAGCTGCTGAAGGCAGGCGCGGTTACAGATGTTCATCTGTTTGCTTGTTCAAGGAAATGGTGACATCTAGCGATGCCGTGACACTGACAGACCACACCTTCAATGAAATAGGAAGCAACACACTGATGCTACCAAGCAATGACTCTGCAAGCTGAAAGAAACACATCTCTATTTACATCCATGTTACAATATTAAGCTATAAGCTAAAGGAAAGTCAAGACTTCTTTTTGCTCTTCAGGCAATATGCTTTTATATACAAATACTGAATTTGATGATGATTGGAGGTCAAAAATAGGCTGCACAAATGTTGCAGGTCATCAAGCAGACCACGAGAGCTTATCAGCAATGTTACCAGAGAAGTACTGTGGCCCCAAACCTGAGCTGGTGTTAATTTCATGCCCAGTGCAGCTCTGCGTCAGTCTGCTTGCTCCACATCTGCCCCATCCTATTCTCTGGCTGCCAGCTGTGGGGACAGGCTCACTGTGGGCAGAGCTTCTCTGCAGAGTGGGAGGGCGGTAGAGAGAGGGGATCCTGAATGCCGTGTGGGGCAGAGGAGGAACGGGCAGCTCCCAACTCATGCTGAAGTTTTTACAGTGGTAAAAATCACCCAGGAAAAAAACCAGAAGGACTCTGTCTCCATCTGTAGCTCCTTAAAGCCCACCATATCTTTGTTCAGAAGGTTTAATTGGGTCACAGTATTCATTACTGTGACACAGTTTTTGTCCCTGTCATGAAAATTTCATATGCTATCAATGCATGAGCATTCACAACTCCCCATGAAAAAGTCCACCACAAAAGGGAAAGATTCTGTTTAAATATACTTGCTTTAAATGTGGCTTCTGGTGCTTGCTGTCCCTTAAAGCTAGTTTCAAAAATCCTAACCTTTTCACTTAAGCAGGACTGTTAACTTGTCTTCAATACTGGGCATAAATATGCATCAAAACATAGGAGGGATCTTAATCTAAACTGTTTTTACTGTTATCACTCCATCACCACATCATAGCAAAGATTTCCATAAATGCTGCAAGCTGAAATAATTTTCCAAGCTAAAAGCCGGAAGTATGAGATAGTTTCTCATCCTTCTAACTCTCCCCAGCCTGCAAGAGCTAGAAAATGAGAGCTTTTGCCTAAGAAGTCCTCTTGCATTTGGCCCTTCATAGAAATGCTAATTGTGAGGCTATTTCTACTTTCTGGGTGTCAAAGTTTCCCTGAGTTTCCACACCACAAACAAAGGAAAAAGGTAGTAGACACAGAATTAAAGTGAGTGTGTGCGCACGTGACAAATATACCCAATATAAATAAAATGTTTATCAGGAAAGTGAGAAACAATGATAATAATGACATGGTGAATAGTGTGGAGGTGTGGTCGCCAGTTTCCTGGGTTCCAGTTACTTGATTCTAATGTGGATTTTTTAGAGTGTGTTAATCTTAACATTCTGAATGCTGCCCTGAATCAGAGAAACCGATATAGACTGAAACTCTGATTATCCCATTTTAAGCTTAGCAGAGCAACCCTCAGAATTTTGTCAGGATTCCCTGCTCGTGCCAGGGTGACCGGACCAGCCAGATACAGCCTGTGATGCCCAGGAACAGCCTGAATTAATCGCTTGCTTTGCAGGTGGGCTCCCTTGAGCAAGCAATGCTGGATGCACTGGTGTTGGACAGAGTGGATTTTGTGAAATTACTCATAGAAAATGGAGTAAGCATGCATCGTTTTCTCACCATCTCCCGGCTAGAGGAATTGTACAATACGGTAGGGCCAACCTAAGGCAAATTTTCTATCTATTTTCATTGTTCTAGCTCCCACTCATATTACGACAACATGATGATGCACAAGGCAGCCAACACCTACTGCATGAACTTTCCATGTTAGAAGTCTACATTGTGTCTTAGCTTTGTCTCTCTTATAATGGAACACGCTGTGTCTTGCCCACCTAATCTGCAGTACAGACTTTGTAAAACATGGATGAAGCCCCACACAGTACTGGCTGATTTCTGGTTGTTGTAGTTCCAATATGATAGACCTGAGATTTAAGCAGATAGTGCGACTGGAAGACAGTAACTGGCAAGTTAGGACCTGTAGGATGGTGATATATGACTCCTGACAGCATAACCCAGAAAAATCTTGCAACTAGTAATCAAACTCTGCCACTAGAAAACAAATAGAAGCACACTTCTTGGGATAATATTCTGAATTTAGAGGTGAAATCTGGAGATTTCAGAAGGTCTGTTACAGTGAAGAACTTCCCCATGTCCTCACTGAATGTTCCAAATATGATAGTTTTGACTTTTAAAAGCCTGATTGCATGTTTTGTGTCTTTAGCCTTAAAATGAACATAAAACTGCACAGGTTCAAATGTCTTCAGAGATCTCAACTGCACAACACATTCCAGCATTCACATCATTATTGCCTACCAAGAGAAACCAAGGACTTCAAATTGCTTAAGTGGTATAGAATAAATCTTAAAGCACTGTCTAGTTCTTAGGATTGCTAGTTCTGTCTGTTGGAGAGAGATTGTGATACAGTGCATAGCCCTTTTCAAAAAGCTTTTTCTGCCAGTACTTTTCAAAGCCCTGCCATTGTAAGCTGCCACACTGGGCTGTCATCCAGAGATGTTTCACACTGATGGTGACCAGAAGTCACTCTTTCAGAAATATCAAATATGAAAAGAAGTCATTAAGTTTGTGCAAAATATAGAGGAACGTGTATCCGTGCCACCCTTGAGACCAACTCCCAAATGACCTTTGGTCGGCTTAAACTTTGCCTGTGTCTAAGTGTTAAGAACAGAAAGCCTATGAGCTTTCTTGTACCAAAGCCAGTTTTTACTGGGAATAAGTTTGAGGAAAATCTTCAGTTCTACAGCTGAAATAAGGCCTTTTTGAACAAATGTATTGTGAGCTATAGAAATCATCATAAATTATTCATGCAAGAGTTCCAGAAGAACCAGGCGGTGAAATGCTTAAACTAACAATTATGATATATGACCCAATGCATCCATAATAGCCTTAGCACCAAAAAAAAATCACAGGGCCAGATAAAAAATACCAAATTTCAACACGAGCCTTGAGAGTGACCTGAGAAGCTACAAACCAGTGAATCTGGCTTCTGCCATGGCAAATAAGAACAGAATTAATAGACAAGCTGATCAATTTTATGTCAAGAAAGAGTTTACCTGGCTTCTGTAGGAAAATGTTAAGCCTTAGAATTCTATTACCTTTTCTGAAGTCTACATGCAAGGAAATAAGGATGTTGCAGTAGGTCCATCCGTTTTTGCAAAACCTGTTTGGCAATATTTGGAAACTTCAAAGGTTATTAAAGAAATTTAACTGTTATGACATGGAAGATAATGGGGATTTGTGGTTTAAAAACTAGTTAGATAGAAAACAGAGGGTAGGAATATGTGGTCTGTTCTCACCACAAAAGTACATTATGACCAGGATCATCCAAGACCCTGTCCTGAGACCACTGCTGTTCAGACTGTTTAAAGGTGATCTGAAAAACAGTAACCACTGAAGGGACAGTGTCTGCAGGTGTTTTAGCATCACTCAACACAGGCAAATCTGAAGCAGCCTATGAATAATCACAGGAAAGTCTCATCATTCTCAGTGATGGGGTTACATAAAATAAAATGTTGGCAAGTGCAGAGCAATGTATATATGGAAACACTGACTCTGCATATAGGTGGTGGTCTCATCTGTCATCGGTTACAGCCAAGGAGACCTCACATAGAAGTCTCTTAAAATATCAGTAACAGTCAAAAACACAACAGAAAAGAAAGTACTACTCCGCATAACTTATAACTGAAATTGTGGGAGTCTGCTGCAGAGTGTTTTGCATGCCAGGTGGAGTCAAAAGAAGACAGGAAAAATTCACAGACTGTGCATGCTGCTTGTGGCTTTCAGATGAGACGGCCTAGGTGCAATGTCAGGCTCAGGGGCTCTCTGAGCCACCAACAGTGGAAGTGGAGATCCTGAGCGCAGGAAGGCTGACACTTAGGCAGCTGTTTTTACTTCCACTGTCTCCCAGAGGCTGTGCATGTTGGGCTGGGCTCCTGCTTTTCCTAAGCCAGGAGCCTCATCTGGTATACAGGACACTAGTTTTCATCCAGTATGGCAGTTCTTGCCTTTTTATTACTGAAGGCTATTGTACAGAAGAGAAGTCAGGTGAAATAACACTGTCGTAATATTTTTTTTTTGTTGGTAACACTGTACAATTGACATGCTCTCATTGCCTGATTTTTAAACTACTAAGGTGAGAAAGTAATTTTAGCATTTATATCTCACAGGGTTTTGGACAATGCAAAACAGTTTTATTCTTCTTTATTTGTCCTTTGCAGAGACATGGGCCATCCAACACTCTCTATCATCTAGTCAGGGACGTCAAAAAGGTAAGAGTCCAATAGACGGTAGGTTGGACATAATGCTATGATTGTTTTCTGTAGCTAGATACAATCTGTTTTGCATGAGCTTTCAGTAAGAGCCTTCTCCTTCCCCTGCCATTACAGAATGTCCTGTCTGTATGTACCAAATACGAACTTTTTGCATACAAAGCACAATTAGCAAGTTATTTGGCTTGATTTCTCTGTGGTTTTAGATGCTTGGATAGTAGTGCTTCTGCTAGCATAATTGTAGGCTCTTACATACTGTGCGCATTTATGCTGTTATCTGTATTTTTCCATACCTGCAACTATTGTCAAAGCTATTCTCCATGTTGTTAGTTTACTTCCAAGCCTGTAAAATAGCCCTTATCCTTGTGCTGGGTCCTGGTTTGTTGAAACAGTTCGTTCTGTGTTATGTGATATATTGTAGCCATCTTCCTCAGCAGAAATACACAAAAAGAAGTTCCTCTGCCCCTTTACCAAGTCAGCTTCCAGCATCTTGAATTAGAGCCATTAGGAGGGCAGGACAGAAACACAGAAAGGTATAGTGACAGGAAGGAGGTACCAAACACCTTTAACATGTGTTTCAGGGTTAAAAGTGTTACAGCAGCAGCAATGAATGAAAATCCCTTATCCTCTAAATATATGGATCGAGTAAGGAGATTGAGTCTGCAACTGACCTCATCAGCTTGAGTATTGTCCCAAAGCGCGTGCAGATTACAACCTGCATGTTACATAAGTCGGACCTCAAGGGTAGCATACTCGAGAAAGGAGATTTCTGTACATGGGACTAGGTAGAAGACTGAAAAAGGAATGGCGTTTTTTTTGAAAGAGCGTACATTTTGGTGGTTTCTTCTGTCACTAAGAGCTGAGCACAACCAAAGGCAGCTAGGGCAGGGGACTGGCAATGTTTCATATATCATCTTTCTGTTAAGTAATGCTACAGAATAATCAGTAGTTATGTTTAGGGAGGTTCTGGTGTTTTTCTTTGGTTAGTGTGTTACTTGGTATGATCGTTGTCACAGAAGAAACTGAATCTGTTCTTGTGCACAAATCCCCTCGGATGGAGCAGAGTAAAGCCAGAATGCGCTTAGACTGGCTATATCACTTGAAGCCCAAGTTACCAGAATATACTTTTACTAAATATGAAATTATTTATTTGCCTATGAGTTTGAATAAAGCATCATCTGTCTTCTTACTTTAAAATATACTCCTTTTCAAACTCCTCCTCTGTCTCAGCATCACCTTTCCAATTTCTCCTTCAAAGGCATGGAAATTTACATGCTGACTGACCAAATAGTATCGATATCTTTTTCTGAGTCTGTAACAAAAGGTAGATTTTTAAAGGAGCTCTTGAAAAAAAAGGCATCAAAATAGGCAAAGACAATCAGTACTCATAGGTATATGTTGATAGACACTGGCATTAGATGAACTTACATTATATTTAATGACATTGTTCCACAGTGATTGCTATATCTGAAGTGATGGTCATTTTTCCATAAATTCATTTTTATTTCCTTTGTCCCTATCTAAAGTCTCCAGTAATTTCCACTACGTGACGTCAGTGTGTACTCTTGTTAGAATGTAGTTAAGGGCTTTAAAAACAAGCAGCCCGGTGCAGACCTCTAGCGCCTTCATCAGAAAACTGCACCTCTGGGGCTGTATTTCTCATTTTGTCAGCGATGAGGAACAACTACTCAGAGAAAAGTAACAGCTCGCCATAGCCTTGATGCCTGAACAGATCCTTCACCAGGCAACCAAGCTGTAAATCAGTCAGTACATCTGACAACAGTTTAAATGAAAACAGCTCCTTGGAAATAACTTCTTAATGGACATTGCTATTTGACAATTAAATGGCCCACCATGCATGAAAATCAGACCACACAGCTAATGCTAGTTTTTTGAGTTTATATATATTTTGCTGCCAGACACCTAGCCTCTCAGATTTAATTGCAGTATCACAAAATATAAATACAAAAAATGTAGTGTGTCACCTGGAGACAACACTTAAAGGATATGCTTACTCTGTGCTTTTTGTGCATATCTCCCAGTTTTAAAACCTGCACTATTTAAAAGGGTGTATGCTGTAAAAACTTATTTACATCTACATCATTGCGTATTCTCACATAGAAAATAGACGCTTACAAGCCATAGAAACATTATTTAATTTACTGCTATTGTATTACATAGATGTATAAATCCCTAGGAGAGTTTTTGTTTGTTTGAAAGACCACCCTGCCTGCTTAATAAAGCAAAGAATTTGAACAACAGAAGTCACATTACCACATCCTGTTTGTGGCAGCTTACAGACACACATGTGCGCACGCACGCACACACAAACATGTAGGACAACCATTTTTTTTCTCCTTGAATTCCCAAATATTGCTGTGAAGACTGTTAGCCTGAAATATTGCTGTGAAGACTGTTAGCCTGGACAGCATACTGTAAAGGCCTGGACACACAGTCTTAAAGAGTTTCCTGTAATAAAATCACACTTAAATTTTGCATGTGTTAACAAGACAAAGTACTTCTTAATGACTCTGCTTTACAGACAACTCTGCTTACTTCTCTTTTTGATCCTCTTAACTCCGTAACTACGTACAGGACAAATCTGCCTGCATCGTTTGCATCATGGCCTTTTTGACATCTGCTGTCAAGGTTACAGAATTTAACATACTGGATTGACTTCATTCCCCAGAAGGCACAAAAAGGTGCATCCAGACTAAGCTGAAAGAAACCGTGGCCATCCTTGACATCCTGTCTGTAAGTGGAGGTTGCCCTCTACAGGTGGTCTTTAAAATAGCCTTCCCCAGCTCAACTAGCCAGTGAAGAGCAGTAGAAATTAACAGATGAATTTTTTCTTTCATCCAAAAATTGTATATAAGCAATATAACTTAAGCCCACTCTGGGGTGATATAAATTTTCAAAGTTCTTTATTTTGGACTGCCCCTGTATATCTTCGTTTCCAGAGAACTAACAAGCAATATACAGAATTTTGAAAGTATTGTGTTCTCCTCTGCATGTAAAATCAGAGCCTTGGTACCTGAATATAAAACTGCATTTGCAGTGAAGAAGTACTATGACTTATTAGCTACAGTTTAAAGTTGAAGTTTCTTCAGGAAAAGAATAATGCATTAGCACTGAAGAGCTTGTCCCAACATTAAAACTTTAGTTGATTATTAATTGGGGTGCCTACCACACCAGAATAAGAAACCTTTTCATCAGTAATTCCTGACCACCTTGGCTGTACTAGAATTAGCCCATCCAAATTTTTTGCTGTTCTTGGAGGGTTTCTGTCCATCTTGCACCCTATGCTTCATTTACAAGAAGAGTTATCACTGCCAGGGTAGTTCAGGGTGTCTGCCGAAATGGCAAATGCTTTGGCACATGCATAACTCCTCTCACAAGGATGGTCCGATTGGCTTTACTAGGGCCGCTCACTTTGGAAAAGAAGTTGTGTGTTAGCATGGAGACATACATGTGTGTATGTCTATAAAATGTGTATTTCTGCTGTGAATCTGTGAGTTTTCTTTAGTGATGTGTTTCAATATTATCTGGGAGGTTTAGATGCATCTTATATTAAAGTTAGTCCATTGGAAATTTTTTATCTAAATCCCTTTATGAAATTTTAGAAATCAGAAGGTCTGTATCAGGAAACTCACGCTAACACATACAGCACCATGAGGCCTGTTGTGCTTTCTTAATTGCTCATGTCTTTTGCCACTTAATAATATCAAAGCATTCCATTTTCATGCCTTACATTAAGACAACAGGAGTCTGTTGAAGAACTACAACTCTGTCTTGGAGCTGCAATGCCATCTTCTGCCAATGCCTTCATCCTCGTTCTAGTAAGACATTGCCTTAAGCATGCTGGAGTGAGAAGAACATTTTGGGCAAAAAACAAACACACTAACAAAAAACCTAGCAGGATTTAGTTTTTAGATTTCCATTATTTTTCTTCAACAGTTCACAATAAAAATACCTGGGTTCAAATAAACTAAGCTAGTATGCATTCATGCAAACCATAGTTATTTCCCCACCCTTCAGGTTGGCCAAGAGCAGGAAGAGTGCAAAAGGATATGCTAAGGGCCATTACTGAAAGATAGTGGGCAGCTCACCTTTTGACACTAAATTTGCTTGATCTTTGAATCCTTGATCTTAAGTGCCTGTTACTAGGCATGTTACACCACAGCACTACCTCTCTCTGTCCTTCCTCAAGCTTTCAGCATGCTGTTTGTACTGTGGTGAGCAGAGAGGGCAATAAGCATTGCTCTTCCTGGCTGAAGTAGAAGGGGAAGGAGGATCTTTTGCATCCATTTCATCTCTTCCGCAGAACCAGTAGCCATCTGCTTTCCATTAGTGTCTCTCTGCTCTGAATCCAATAAGCACATCTGCAGAGAAGCCAGGCAGATATCTGCAGACATGCAGATATTTCCAGCAAGACATGGCAGTCATAAAATTGCTCTGTGCAAATTACTAACCTCCTTTTGATGACCGCATAAAAAGAGCTACAGGCTAACTGTAATCTGTGCTGTATATCATTATAGAAAATGTGATTATTTTATTTCAATGCACTGAAAAATTGGAAGCTAACAATCGCAATTTCCTGGTCCTTCTGCAGTGTTGACTATACAAGTTAATTTTTTACTACAGTAATTTTCTCTCTTTCCAAGGCTACCACTTGCAGTTCACAGGATAATTTACCTTTCCTTCCACCTTGAATTTGGAGTCTCATCTCTTGCACAATGACATACAGGACAGAGAGGGTTCTGTAAATCTGCAGGGTTCTTAATGAGATCTCTAGATCTGGGTGACCCGTTCACAATTTGCTGAATCGTGCCTTCTTTTCTAGTTAGGAAACTGCTCACTGAACCATGAACAGTCATCCAAACAATTCAGAGGCAGTGATTCAGACAAGGGGGCAAACTTTCATTTGGGGGAATTCTCTTCCCATTAGCCCTTTCCTCCTGTAAAGAAATAGGAGTTTTCCTTGAGAGTTCCCAGGCTTGAGTAGAAGAGCAGATGTGCCCATGCTGGAGTTTTGTTCTTCCATCGCCAGAGAGCCCCCAGGAGCGCTCCACCGGCACATCGGTAAGACCAGCCCACCCTGAAATTGTTCTAGGTGCTGCATCAGGCTTACTGCTGATGGAGAATACAAATGCCCAGTTAACTCAAAGGCAGACTCAGATTCGTATGCAGTAAGAGACAATCTGTTACTGAGATCTTTCTTCACAGCTTTGCAAGCCATAAGTATCGCAGAACTCCTAACCTTAGCACTGCTGTTTTCAGGTTTGACAGTGAAGAGAAGGAAGACTGACACGCAAGGGAGTTCACAAAGTGAGGGTAATATGACATGGACATATTCATGATTCTTTTTCCCTTCAAAATAGAAGGTACATGCTGAAGACATTGCATATATGTATTATATTTAACAGAGGATAAGAAAGGAAAAGAAACAGAAGAGCACATATGTAGATGTTTTTTCCAGGATGCTGTGAAAGACCCTTACCACAAACACAGTTTACCTTTTGGGAGGCATTCTCCCTGGCACTGCTAGAAATTCGGTAGCAAGATTACTGTGCTTAGAAGAGCTTCTAGTAACCAGCTAGGAAAATTGCTAGGCTTGTAGTTTTCTTCTTGAACAAAAGCTCAAAGTATTAGCCACAGACATTTTGATTATTACAACTTCCATACTTAATTTCATACATATAGATGCTTTCCTCATACTAGGTGTGGAATTTAAGCAAAAATATGTTTTTATTTGTGTACAACCCCAAGAACAAATGCTAACAGACTCTCCTTGCCTCTAGCAACCAGCAATAATAATAATTCAGGCACTGTGTCCTTTAGAGTAGGTAACACAGCTCTTTCGTCCTTGCCTCTGCTTTCCTGGAACATGAGAAGGAAACACTGCAGGATGGGAAGATCACATGCAGGAGCTGGTTCCGTGTGAACAAATGGTATCGCATGATGTCACTTCACCGTGCCTTGGCAGTGCAGATGAGGCAATCCAAAGAGATGCCAGCAGAGATGTGAGATGCCAGGACAAGAGTTGTGGGGACAGATGGTGCAGAAAAAGTGCTATCTTGCAGGACTAGAGTCCAGCAACTGTGCCTGACCTTTCAAGTGTGCTGATCCTCGTGCTTTTTGTTCTGCAGTCATGTTCCTTGTTTCCCCAGCTGAAGAATATGAGTACTGTGTACTGACGTTATCTTCTGTTACTTCCAACAAGTTCTTCACCTTCTTATTTAACTTATGTCTTCTTTCCAAGCGAGAATATCCAGGTTTCGGTTGGATCTATTTTAAGGTGAATTAATTAGCCAGCATAATAATACATTCCTGTTTTTAACTATTTAATTTTTTTTATTCTAACATCATTATAAAGTATATTTAATGACACCAGTAATAAGCATTTCTTCCTCCCCGACCATCCTTCTTATTTCCATTGCAGGGAAACTTACCTCCTGATTATCGGATAAGTCTGATTGATATTGGTTTGGTGATAGAGTATCTGATGGGAGGAGCAATTTGCCATTGGTATGACTGCACCCCGTGGCAGGGATTACCATAGCTTCTTAGACGGTTCCAGGCTGGGGGGATCCACATGCACACACTATTCAGTCTACAGATTCATTTCCATTGTGTGCATAGCAGCTATTTCACCACAACACACCATAAGCCAGCCACTGATACAAGCTACATTTTTTACGAATTTAATGAAAAATTATTGGGTTCTGCTGCCCTGGGGATACCAGGACCTAAAACAGTCTCCTCTGCCTCTAAAATCTGTAATTGTGAGTATCCACAGCTTTTGAAAGATGTCTTTTGACCTGTACCAATAATACCATAGAGGACCTGCTTTAGACTTGAACAAACTTGTGTTTTGATAGATGCATTTCCTATCTCATGGCTTATCTTCTTGATTGTGGCCTGAAGGTATCAAGGCAAAGAAATCTATAACTCAAAATTGGCTTTATTGGCTGGATGTGGCTCCAGCAGAGTCAGTGGGCTCATGGCAAAAGCACCATTCAGTATTTTTGTGGGTTTCATGTTTGATAGATTACAGTACTGTGAATCCAAAGTAAGTTTACTACCATTCTAAAATGTAAAATGTATTTATTGTCATCCATAATGCCACTGACCCAATCCAGTGTGAAGAAAAATCTGCTCAGCTGCTCCCAGTGAGATTTGTAGTTCTTTCTTTGCCTGTTTTTACCTCACATTTTCATTTGCTGTCTTAGTTCAGATTTTAGCAATAAACACAAAAAAATATTGTTTTAAATGGCTACAAAGAGCAACAGCTCTGTGGAACAGTGACAGCCAAACATCTGAAGCGGGTTTGCTTGTTGCCCTACACTTCCCTTCTTCACTTTTGAGAGGAAAGGTGCTAATTGTAGCTGCTGGTAGAGATTTCCTTCCTTTAGTCACTCCGTCAAGACAAGTATTTGAGTAGCGATTTCGCAGACACTGAACCAATATATAGAGCAGCTCCATAGCAGTCACTAAAAGTATGCCAGGGGAATGGCCAAAGTACTGACATACTCCAGAGATACCCATCCATGCCTTACTAGTCATTTCTATCTCTTTTCTGCTAGAACATTCCCAAACCAGTTGTAATTTGTACCTGAATCCAAATGTATGTCTTCTGTTGTTTGTTTTGATGAAACAGGGTCAAATTCGAGGTTTAATTAAATATATATACAATTATTTGATTGAAGTATGTATGTCTATTACATTACATTACATAAATATTATCCATATTATATATTGTCTACTATACACTCTGTATTTTATGTTATACATCACATTACACACTTATGCATGCATGTATGTATGTATATACATATAGTTGTAATTTTTCACCACCCTTCTGGGAGAAATAACATTTTTCTAACTTTTTTGTACAGCCAAAAGCCCTGAAACTGTTGGGAATGGAGGTAGGCGACCTGTGATAAATCTTAATGTCTTTTCCTTCTTTGACAAATATACACTATATCAAAATAATGTTCAAATTCACTGTAATGAAGGTATCAATAGTTGTTTTCAAGTTTTGTATGAGAAATGTGCCACACAAATTGTATTTTTCATCCAGATAACTTGTTTAGGGAAGGGCCAGATTAAGAAACATTTCTTAATAAAACTCCAGTGGATAGACAAGACAAAAGAAGGCTCTGTCTCCTCTACGCATCATTTTTCTTTTCATGAAGATTAAACAAAATGTTTCAGTCTGTCAGACCAAGCAGAATTTCAGTCAGAGAGCTATATATATTTAAAATGTTTTCAGAGAAATGAAGCAGTTGCAGAGAATGATGAAGAAGTCTTTACATGGGACAAATTTCTATCAGTTTTGTTGACACTTCTGGCTACCTCAATGCTTCAAGGAGATAGTAGTGTTTTCTTGTTTGTTTGTTTTATACAACAACTTTCATTTAGATGTCCACAAACGCAGCACAGAATAGGTCAACTCAGCTGATAAAAGCAGCAGGCTAAAATGAGAAACAAACTAAAGGCGATAGAAACAACAAAGAGCTGGAGAAAGAAAGGATAAGTGTGGGATACAAAGGCAGAATGGGAGTGAAGAAAGGAGAGTCCTGCTCTTGTGAGAAGATAAAGGGAGAAAACACAGGAATAACCAGGGTGGGAGTCTTCAGCAGACCAGAACATCCCCTGGATATGTACTTTCTGGAGGTGGAACGAGGCAGACGGATTACAACAGATGTTATACTTGGAGTCAACCCTTAGCTTTATTTTGATGATGGTTTTTCCAAAATGGTTTTGTATATTGTGTGATTGTGCTCTGTGTTCTTATGGAGAAAGAACAGTTCAGAGCGATAGTTCAATGCTCTTTTTCCCTGTGTTTAGGTATGGGGTTACTGACTTCTTAATTACAGTGCATAAACCAATATTTTTTTCATCATTTTCCTGTGTTAAATATTTTGTCCAAAAAAGCTGAAGGGGCTGGTCTGCAGGGAATGTGTTTAACATCTCAGGTACTGACTCCAATGCATTGCATGAATTGATTCAGTTCTTTCACTGGTGAAAAAATATTCCTTACAATTCTCACAGGATGATGTCCCTTTGCGGCGAGGGAGGAAAACAACAAAAAAAAGAGAAGAAGAAGTTGATATTGATTTGGATGACCCTGAGATCAATCATTTCCCCTTTCCATTCCATGAGCTGATGGTGTGGGCTGTGCTGATGAAGCGTCAGAAGATGGCCCTCTTCTTTTGGCAGCATGGGGAAGAGGCTATGGCTAAAGCACTCGTGGCCTGTAAACTCTGTAAAGCCATGGCCCACGAAGCATCAGAAAATGACATGGTGGATGACATATCTCAAGAGCTGAACCATAATTCCAGGTGAATTTTCTTTCATGTACACTTCCCGGGGTTAAAAAAAAAAAAAAAAAAAAAGGGAGACAGACGCCTAAACTGTGGGGAAAATCAGTCCCTTCAGAGAAAGTCGAAATGGCCTTTAAACAACCTATCTGCCAGAGAAGCAGAGTTGCTACCTGTAAAACTTAGAAGGTGTCAAGAAGGCAATGAAATATCTATATTGTCTATGTGTTCTCCCTGAGGCATCAAGAGTCAGGCTGAAACCTTGCTCTGTGCTTTCTCAAGACACTCTGTTCATGCCAAGCAGAACAATTGTTGAAATCCTTACGAACATAATATTCGGGCAGAAGTGTTAATTAACCAAGAGCTCATGCTTAGGTGAGCAAGCCAAGATACTAGATTCCATAATAATCTTTCCTGATATTAAAAGTCTGAGACAGAGAATTTACAAAGGGGTATTGGACACTCCTTTTTCCAGAAGACTTGACCACAAAGCCGTGGAGAAAACAGCACAGAAGCAATCATCTTAGCTGAGACAACCAGAGGATTTCAGCCAGAAGATGTCAGGGAGGTGGGCAGGCAGGTGGGAGCAGACAGCTGGTAGTTGTGGGTGGTCATCACTGCTAAGCTGAGGTATATATTTATATGCCTATCATTAGCTACTCACATTTGAAAATGCGGGTTTCCATATGTACAGTCAACATCATGATTTACATGATGGAAGGTGATGCCCCTGTTGCAGAGGCTGTCAGTTGCAGAGGGGTGTTTTCTGCGGCAGACTGCTTGGGCTAATGAGAGTGAACGAATGTCCTTTTGTTGCAGGGACTTTGGCCAGTTGGCGGTGGAGCTGTTGGACCAATCGTATAAGCAGGACGAGCAACTGGCAATGAAACTGCTGACCTACGAGCTGAAGAACTGGAGCAACGCCACATGCCTGCAGCTTGCAGTGGCAGCCAAGCACAGGGACTTCATTGCTCACACTTGCAGCCAAATGCTGCTCACCGACATGTGGATGGGTCGTCTCCGGATGCGCAAAAATTCTGGCCTAAAGGTCAGCACTGTTTTAAAATAAGATTAACAGTCAGAGGAGTTCTAATAGATGGTGGTAGGGCTCACAACAAATCAGTAATAACTTGCTAAATTAACCAAATTTCAGGTGCTTATTTGTAGTGACATTTAGCAAGTTATATTCTTCCTGTGTGCAATTTTTCAGCAGGGAGCTTGTAACAAACCCAAGTTAAAAGCATGTTACTTAGGTTTTTCATCATCTTTCTCAAAGCCCCCTTCAGCATCATTGAGAACTCTCAGGATAAGAATTGAGCCAGGAGGTTAGTATGTCACCCTGCCTGGATACTTGAGGAGTTAGCCAATGTTGTGAAAGATAAATAAAGAAAAAATATGTGTAAGTGAATTAACCGCTAGTGAAAGGTGCTGATCTGACAACCTTCCCTAGAATGGGCCAAAGCAAGCAGCACAAATTTTCTTGCAATCCCCTGCCAATCTTCCTGATGACTGACCTGAAGGGTGTACCTTAGAGAACCTAGAGGATAACTCTATTTTCAAAGCTGTTTAAGCTTTACTTCCACAGTTAGAGAAACTGCTAACAGAGCAAGTTGAACTCTGGTAGGTGAATTCGTGTCCACAGGCTGGCAGCTTTCACCTTCCCCAAAGTACTCACCAGCCAGCACATAACCAGGGATTGCATCTTCCTGCCAGATGACTGAGAAATATTTTCAGTGAAGGGGTTCTCTCTCCTGCATTAATCATGTATGTGAAAAGTGGTAGTTGCTCAGATGTTTTGCTGTGTGAAAAGATGGTTGGTAAAGGTGAGAATGCTTGTGAGTGCGTGCATCATTATCATACTGGGTCTAAGCCACTGACAGTGATAATGAGCTTCAGTGAAATAAAACCCAGACTAGAAACTGAGTAAAGGATCCTTGTGAAACCCTGATGTTACAAGAAGCTTAAAGGAAACAGTCTGTTACCTTCAGTTATTCATTGTGAAGGAAAGGTGTTTTATGGCTTAAAAGATGCATGCTGCAAAGGAGAAAGCATGCAGTGGAAAATGAGTTGCTCTGCTGATCCCCATCTACCTAAACTGAATATCTGCAAAGTCAAGCAGTGAACAAGCCAGCAGTCCCTCTGAAGGGCAACGGGCCTGTGAGTCGAGTCAGAAAAACAGGTAGTAAAGATGTCTCCAAATGTGAGAATGCTTTCTATCTGTAAGCAGAACAATATTTATGCGCAGCTTCTGCAGGAGGATGATGAGAACACTATCAGCCACTTACTCTCATTAAAGCTAAAGCAGGCTACAAGCTACATGAGCAAGAGGCAGCATGGCAAAGAAATAAATTTGCAAACATGAGTCATGGATTATTTCCCATGAACAATTTTCTCCTGTCAAAACTGGCAAATGGCAAGAAGGCTGAATGTAATGCTTTAGAGTCTCACTAGGGATGTATAGCACTAACGGGAACAGGGGAGGCAGTTGTTAATCCTGCCTGCTCTTAAAATTAACCTCTCTGGGAAGCCAGGTCTGCCCATAAACCCGTCTCCCTGGACACATCCTTTTGTGACAAGCCTAGTGCAGGAGCAGTGCAGGCAGCCTGGTGCTTGGCTCTTCCAAGGCTGGGCACAGCTTTCATACATCCTAACTGCTCCTGATTGCAGTACTTTGGATGTTTTCAACAACACACATGCTGTCTGTCAATACCATGAGCACAAGCAGTCACCCTCCCTGACCTGCCAACAAGATAACTATCTGGTTTCACTGTCGTTTAGGAAGACATATGTAACGAAATCATTTTCCATGAGATTACAGCAAAACTAGTAAAAGTTATTGTGCTTCTGAATACAGAGAGGCCACTTCTTTTTATATTGTTATGATATCTCTTCATTTATACTACTGATTTAACCCCCAGCATCGTTCATTGCATACATCCACGCAAGGTAATTTTTATGGTTTCTCCACTTCCACATCATAGGAGAGGGAAGGAAGAACACAAAGATCTGGCGTTAACATAAACATTATATGGCTGGCAGATTACTGACGTAAAATCTCAGGGGACCACATAGCTAAGTACATCAGTGTTTGCTATTTCTGGCTTTGCCTTATCTCTTCAGATCCACACATGCTTATGTCTCAACTACCTGTGTGCGTGAAGTATGGACACAGAGAGCTTGCGACCTACTAACCCCTCTGTAGAAACTGATACTGCTTGTGTAGCATTTACACTGATATTGTCTATTATGTAAAATGCAGAAATTTGCAGGTCTGAGGTTTGAACACTCCTGTGGTCCCAACTGCTGTTGGCCTTACATAATATTTTGTAAATATATTCTGGTATATAACAACACGCATCTGATGAGCAAGCAGATAAAATATTCAAGAGAGGCAATTAGCCATAGTATTTACAGCAATGCTAACAGAAGTTACTTTGTTTGAAAACATTCCCCCAAGTGACAAATACTCTATTGTCATAGAAACTCACATGCACGTATATCTTTCTTTTCCTAAATGTCCTCCGGGAGTTGTTCCATGTGATACTGAGTAACCATGATGATTGTAATCTGTTTACTGTGATGATTATTGTTATCATTATTATTGCTTTAGGTAATTCTAGGAATTCTACTTCCTCCTTCAATCCTCAGCTTGGAGTTCAAGAACAAAGATGATATGCCTTACATGTCCCAGGCCAACGAGATTCATCTTCAAGAGAAGGAGCCAGAGGAACCAGAGAAACCAGTTAAAGAAAAAGAGGAGGAGGACATGGAACTCACCGTAAGTGCTGACAATAAATCATCAGCCTCAGTGCTGTCAGTTTCTTATTCCCACCTCTGTGAGCATTGCAAGCTGTCTGATGGCTGAATTTAGCAGATTATACTACACTCTTAACAGTCGCCTCTCCTCGGTGAGACTCAAACTGGACAAGTTGGCATCATTGTGTCTCAATATTGCAGCAGTGAATGGTGATGCTGAAGCATCATGTTGTGATGTAATGTCCTTATAATTTTGATTCAGTTTGATGCCACGTAGTCTGAAATAAATTCATGAGGTTTCGGAATTGAAAGCGCTCAGCCATGATAGATGAGTGAGCTTCTCCAGTAGAAAAGAAGGTCACTAAGTTTTCCTTTGGGTGGAAGCACCCAAAGATTCGTAGAAGCTAGAGATTTTTTTTCATTTTGGTTAACTTAATTAGAGGGCAAATAAGTGTCCAAACAGACAAGAAAAAGTGACGAAAACATTCTTCAAAATTCTTTATTAGTTTGTGATCATTGCCTCTCACACATACACATGTGCAGTTTTTAATCCACTGAAGACATTAGCAAGCAGCTAGACAGCTCAGCCCTTACTAAGAGCTTCTGCATCTCAGCGGAGTTGTGTAAAGAAGGATTTGTCTGTATTAGTAACATAGCCTTAAAGGAATAATTTGCACCACAAAGAGAATCAAATAGCTAAAGCTCTGAAAACAATACAAGTCACCTACTTCCAGTCACTTGTTCTCAGACTTGTTTGACACTTTTCAATTTGGGCATTTATCATATGAGCTTTCAGACCTGCCTTTACTTTGGTTTGGGTCTGATTGTGATGTCTTTGAAAGGCTTAAATTCAACCTGAGTTGGTCAAGGTCAGGGTAGAGGCATAGAAGTAGAAGAGATTTTCCTGGTTAATTTAAAAAAAAAAAAACCAGACTATTTCCCACAGGCAAACAGCAGGAGCTGCCCACAGGACCCCGTCTGCAGGCAGGCAGAAGGACCTGCCTACAGGACCCAATATGCAGGCAAGCCGAAGGAGCAGCCCACAAGACCTACCTACAGGACCCGTTTGCAGGCAAGAACCTGGCCCTTGGGAAGCACCAGAAGCCAGAATAGCAGCAATGGGCCGTTCTCCCCTCATTAGCTATTAATTGCAATTTATTATCCCTGGCTTCTGATCCACTTATGAAGTGCCTATTCAAATCAAATAAGCACTTTGCAAGCTGTCTTTTCTTGCAATGGGGAGAAAATTGGGGAAGAAGTCATTTCCATCTCTCTGCAGTTATCCCAGCTCCTGGTTTCTTGTCTACAATACTGTGTTTCCTTTTTACCTTCTGAGTCCTGCTACAAGGAAGTGATGTGTGAACTGGATCTGCTTTTCCAGACGAGTCTTAGATGTTCCCTCTCTCCTCCCCTCCATGTGCTGACAGTCCTATTGCTCTTTCCTGTCATTGACTCTGCCCTTAACACCTTTAAACTTGATGCATCATTCTAGTGAAATTTCAGACACTTACAGCCTTTTCTATAAAATAAAAACTGTTTCTGTGGAGTCCAGCAAGTTTAGAAACAATAGCCTTGGTAGACTACTGCTGACAATATTTCTGCGCATAATCTCTGCTGTGCTTTAGGACTTCTAACATAGCTTCTTCATCCAGGTGCTTTTCAGTTGTGAGGAGAGAAGATTTGCTAGCAAAGAGACCTTTGCATGTATTTCTGTGATTAGATGCCATAGCCAGTTGTATTTAGTCACCATCAGGCACTGTGTCAGGGAGAATGTTCCTACCTGTCATATTTTGAATGCAAGACAATATTTTAGATTGAAGTTTTGCGTTGCTCCAGCCTTAGCCAAATGGTCTGGCGTGAGCTAGGTCAAGTCTCTTCTCCACTGATGAGAGGATGCCTGCAAGACTGTTGGGAACTTTTGCCTTAGCCACACTTATATTAATGATACCTTATTCATAGTTCATTAAGATTAATAATTGATTGTGGTGTGATATCACAAATGTTTAATCAATTGCTGAACTCTGGCTCAATAGATCAGTCACTCAGCCTAACCATAGCTTGCCACTATTGTATTCAGAATGACCTGCATATTTTTCTCCACATTTTTTCCTTTCAGGACGAACAAATAGATTTTTTTTTTCATTTGTGATTACTACAGTTTTCTCTTATTCATTTACTTAATTTGCACATGATTTTTAAAAATATTTTCAGTATTTTTCCATGGTTTGGTTTTCTGAGCTTTGTTCAGTTTAAAGCTTAAACAAAAGTGATGAACTAAAATCATTTTGGTCACCTCAGAAGCCCATTTCTGGCAAATATGCATCATCCAAACAACCTGTCTAACTCTATTTCTAATCATTCCCAATGAGTGCTTCTCAAGTCTGTGTATTCCTATAATACTATGCCCATATGCATTTTCATAAAAGTACTGCTAAGATAAAGAGGTCACATCTAGTCAAGGTCTGTTAATTGATTTCTGAAGAAGCCTTGTGTGTCCTGCACTACTAAGCCTGGGTGACTAATGCTGCGCCAAAAGAGTCAGTTTCTTCCTCTGGACTGCACTTGTGCAGAGTGGATGAGACACAGGGCCACAGTGATTTTTTGCACTATTTTACACCTCATTTGCACAGAATAATGTGATCACACAGACCACAGCAACAGTGAAGTAAGCCTCTGCATAGGTGCATCTACATGCAAGTATGTATTTGTTTTATGGTCCTCTCAAAGGATCTGGTGGGTAGCTGAACATCTGGATATACTATAAAGATGTAGTGTTTATTCCGTGTAAACTACTTGTTACTCACACCTGCTTTTAACTTTGTAACAGATATATGAGAGTGGTGGGCACACATTTCTTTAACATCTAGATGCTAGGCAACAGACTTTGCTTATAGCAGCTACTCACAAAAATGAGGTTGAATACTGCTTTCATCACCGCTTCCTCAGCACCAAGGAATTTACCACAGTTTATGCATGGAGCTGCCAATCAGTAATCCTGAATATTAGACATAGAAGAGTAGAAGGGCACTGAAGTCTAAAGGCTGATGACATTTTGTATTTGTACAATGTCCTGACCAGGGCCTTAATTAGTTGCTGATTTTTAGATCAGTCAGAAATCCCAACAGTCTACCTTCCTCCCAAAATAACACTGATTCTGCAAGCCACAACTAGGAGCATCGTTATCCCTATTCAGTGCCTTATTGTTTGGGTATTAGAGTTCGTCAGTAAATGGTCTATTTCAGAACACAGAACAACTCATCTAAGTCCTTTAGAAGATGTTTCAGTTGTTGTTTTGCTCATTTTGTTCTAATTTTCCACATCAAATAGGAATTTTGGAAGTCCATGGGCATCACTAAGAATCTGAGTTAGGACTTTTCAGTAGCAGCAAAACTAGTTGTGTTGGCATCTGGGCTCGCGTTGTCTCATCTGCAGTATGTATGCTTAGGCTTTTCTCCATGGCAAGAACTAACCAAATATTGTATCACTAAAAAAAAAACAGTTCTTAAGATAGGAAGTTTCAAGACTAGTGTCCTGATGCCCATGGCCCATCTCACCCACCCTCTCACGAGCCAGCAGCTTGTCTGGAAAACAGCAGTGGGAGACACTGCCAGCAGTCACAAGAAAGAAGTGCTGGCCTTCTCCATAAGGAGGGATTTCCCTCCGTTTCTCTAAGGGTTTTGGAAACCTCCCATACCACCACCACGTAAATGCCGTGGCACTCTTTGTGCCCTGCACCGTGCCAGGATGACTGAGCTCCTGGCACTCTAGCCCTGCTCCTCTGTATTCACCTGAAAGAACTACTGAGCACATGCAAAATCCAGTTTTACACACCTGTAACTCAAAAGCGTTAAACATTTTTTCCTACCATATTTCAAGGCAGAGAACACTAGAACAACTGCCATGGAGGCAGCATTTCCTACACAGCATAGGATACAATGGGTTGTGCAGAGAGAGGTATAGTATATCCACACAGCTATGTATCATTTCCACTCCAGTTCTGTGTAAATATGGGCTAAGTCTATATGCAGCATGTAGATTTTACTAAGAATAAAATTTGAAGAGCCTATGATCATTCTAGAAGGACTGAAATTCCTGTTACTTTATTATAAAACAGATAAATATATAATAGGCATAATAGAATTGTTAACATATATTAATGCAAAAATGCACAATCCAGAACTGTCCTGGTTCCCTATCAGTGAACAGTCCTCGATTATATAAAACAAAATCTGACCAAAACTGAAAAAAAACAGAATCCTGATTAGAAAAATTTCCATGTAAAAACTATGCGCACATCAATCCCCTCAGGCTAAAATGATGCAGTTGTACTGTACTACAATGTAGCTGAGCTGCTGTCGGGCTTACCTTGCATGACTCATGGTGAATCATGGACAAAATTGTGTATTAGAGAAAGAGATGCCGCCCACACAGAGCAGTGTCTTGAGTTATTCCCACCCTATTGCTTCCCCCTCCAAGTGAAAACACATTTGTTCACATTCAGCATTGCAGCTATTCTGTTAAGGCAGTCACTTAGGTTATTTCTGCATGTTTCTGGTGGGGAGGCTTTTCAATTTGTTAATACTGTGATATAATTAACAGTTGGGGACATCAGGTCAAGTCTAATCCCCAGCCATCTCAGAGCAATTCCCCATCTGTAGCATGGGGGAGGGGAAAGGTTCCTATTATATGATACAATTAATTCAAAAATAATTATAACAGGATAACATCACAGCATCATTATCAACAAGAAAGCAATAGCAAACAGGAAATCAGCATCCATGAGCTAAAGCACAAATCCAGGTACTGAAGGAGCATTATCCAGAAAACATCCACAACTCACTGATTACAGTGAGAGCTAAGGGTCTCAGAATTAGTAAATTATAAAATTGTGAAGGATTTAAACTCTGTAAAATAACCCTTTTCACTAAAGCACGGCACTGCTCATTTCTAAGCTGCCAGCATTCTTTTTCACTCTGCTGCAAATTTCTTGAGCACCAGAGGACAGCAGAGACAAATCCTTGGGAAAAGCCACAGAAAACTCTGTAGCACCAGATGGCAGCTTTCTCTAGAACAGCGTCAGAAGGTAGAGAGAAGCAAAGAAATGGGTACTTTCTTGGGCTGTCATTTTCCCAAAACATTCAGATCATATTCCACTTCTTTTCCCAAATGAACAATCCCTGGTATAGATAGGGCAATCACTTTAGTTTTGTAGATTTCAGGTAAGGATACCTGGGGTTCTGTGAAGGTCATGTAATTTCTGCTACTGTAGTTACATTCAGTAAATCTCATGTACTTGCAGACTATCTGCTTATCGAATAAGAACCCTTCTCCTCTGCTTAGCAGCCACTTCATCTTTTCCCTTTTTGAAAGGGAAATCTTGATGGAATTTTAAGCGGTTTTATGTGCTCTGTGAGAACCAACAGGAGGTATATTTAATTTTTTAATACACATTGTTTTATCTACATTTATGGCAATGAACTTAGAAATCTGCAGGCATAAAAAGGTAGAGGAATTAGGTAACTTCATCAAAGCAGGCTACAGTTTTAAGAGGATCTCAGCAGGTTAGTTTCAGTGCAGTATATTTGTGTCTTGAATCATTGTTCTGTTTTATTAAAAATGTGCAGGACAACATCTGTGCATAGTCAAATTCAGTAATATAAGGGGCTATGTGAAAAGTAATAATACCAGAGGAAAAAATTAACTGCATAAATGAAATGCAAGAGAAATATTAGGCAGGAGCCATCTAGGACAATACGTGGTCCTAATAATGTTACAAATGTCTACACTGTCTGAAATGAAAAAAAATTTGGTCATCAGTTTATCATTACAAATTACTATTTTACAGGACGAAAGACCTGTAGGAATAGCTCCACGAGGCCTAGAAAAAGGAAGAAAAGGAAAGACTATGATTCGTGTTTTTAAAGGTTTGAGAAGCGCATCTCCTGTTCCTGCAGGGCACTAGAATCAGATCAAATAGGTCACGTGAAGCTGATTAGTTAAGTATGTGCTGAACATCCTGTTGAATAAGAGAGCACAGAAGTAGATAAAAGAAGGAACTCTTTATTGAAAGACAACATATCTGGCATCCGATTAGTTCTCTTTTGGCTTAGTTTTCCAAGTTTTTAAGTTGCAGAAGAGAACGTTATCTTCAGGGATGGTGAAAGTTTTCTTTGGTTAACGTGACAGTACAAAAGTGCTTTGATCTACTTGTAGAGAAACATTATAGAAGCATTTAAATAAAAGCATCATCATGCAGTCCCTGCATACATGGGTAGGACAGGTGTATCTCAATTCTTGCAACTGCTTTCATGTGCAGGAGTGTTATAATCTATAGGTGCTGCCACAGACTAAATAATAACAACTTGCTCAGGACACAGTAACCTAAAACCCACTCTTAGTCTGCTATTCACAAAAGAATTATTTCAGAAAGAACATTGAATAAATCACACTATACTCTAAATACAAAGGAACACCTTCTTTTAAGCATTAACTTCAGTGAGCAAATAGTTGAGTCACTCCTTTCACCTCTCTGCAGCTGACCATGAAGCTAAAATAAAATATTGCCATCTTTTGCCTGTTAGGTTTGCAGTTATAGCTGAGGACGTCTTAAGTATGTGTTTCTGGAGCTCAGGGTAGCTTTTCAGTGAGTCTGAATTACAATTGTAACAGTGAGATCAAGCCTAGCAGAGGCAGTACGTGAGCAGTCTGGAACTTCATTATGGAAGAAGCTACAATCATGTAGAAGGATCTTTCAATCCAAGGCCGTAATGCTTCAGTGAACTCTGCTGGTTAGTTCTCTACATCCACATGAAGTTCACTGTGGGATCATCACCTGTGCCAGATCCGATGATCAGCGTGAAAGGAGTCACTGGCTTCATTGCTTACAGTCCAGCAACTGCAAACTCATTTTTCCCCCTGTTGTTCTCTCTCAGTCTCAGCCTTATGAACTTCTCTTTGTTCAAAATCAAAACTTCTCTGCTTTCTGTGTACATCTGTTTATTGTATAGAAGTGCACCACAAAATGCTGTTGTCAGGTAAAAAATTTTGCTGTCCATACAGCACTGGTGTGACCAGTGACCTTGCTGACCAGTCAAGGACTTCACATTGGTGCTGACAGTTGCTGCCAAAACATTGCTTTTTTGGTTTACAAAGTATTAAAGAGTACCATCCCTGAATAAAAGATAATCTGGGAACAAAGCATTGCCCAACTAGCTGTGGTCACCTGGTTTTGTCTAAAGATTGAGAAATCATAGAATTTTTGAGTAGCTTCCTTTTGAAATTTCAAAAAATAGCTTAATTTGTCTTTCACAAAGAAAGAAACACAAAAATGTCCTTTCTTGTAGGCAATGCTGGGACGAGGGAATGGAGAGTCATCAAGAAAGAAGGAGGAAGAGGAAGTTCAGAGCAGGCACAGACTGATCCCTGTTGGAAGAAAGATTTATGAGTTCTACAATGCTCCCATTGTTAAATTTTGGTTTTACACAGTAAGAAATCTTTGCTGTTATATTACTACTCTTTGGACAAATACTGAAATTGGATTAAGGTCATCTTCTGTGTTTCATGGAAAGTCTGCATCTGCGTGCATTGGAGGGTTTGGCTGTAAATAGTTTAATAAAATCTTTTGTGGAGGTCAGCTATCACTTACAAACCTGTCTAAGACTTTTGAAGAAGAACATTTCATTCAGGAACTTAACGGTTAAAATTTGAATGACTGCATATGTTTTTCTTCAAATACGACAGTAAGTGGCAGTTTGCTGCAGTCAGTGCTCGCAAGGAATTCCCTGTAGGAGAATTCCCAATAGGAGAGCTCCCAATAGTAAGCCCAGTGTGAGACTGAGCTGAATCAGGATATTGAGTTGTATAACAATTGATTAAAAAAAGAAGCAGAGAGAGAACATCTTTTCTTGGAACATTTTTTTCTTTGTTCTGTTTTGACCTGTCTGCAGAGTGTTTCTCAGAGAGAGTTTGTGTAGGTACCCACAAGGTAACAAAGACTTTAGTAGCAGCTGATGTACATTTTCTGGGGACAAATTATGTCAAATCAGTATAATCTCCCTGTGTTATAAAGAAACAGACCTTGCGTAGAGAGCACTAAAACATTATGTCATATATTTTGACTAAAGACAGTAACAAAAAACTTTACAGAGTATTCTCACAGATAAATTAATAACTGCTGTATTAAAGTTACTATGTGGACACAATGTTTTTTTGGCAATTAGTCCTCAAGAGTAGATATTAATTATTCATTATCAAGCTGGAAGCAGGGATTGGAAAGGATTCCACTAGGGCCTCTCCTATGTCAGGTGCTGTCTGATATTTTCATTCAAAACTTGGACAATGGAGTAGCAATTAGTTATTAAATTTGCAAATTGCACTAGAATTTAGAAGGATGAGATCAAACAGTAAAATGAACACAGAACATAATCCTTTCAGTCACCTTGGAACTGGCTCCCAGTTCAGCTTCTGCATCGTGTGACAAGTACGGACTGATTTGAAGGATACAAAAAAGAACAGGAAAAATATTTCTAAAGGTCTGTAAAAAATGACTTCAGGGGAAAGATTTAAGGAAGTGAGGTTGTTTAAGGAAGTGAGGTTGTTTTGTCTGGAAAAAAGAAGTCTGAAGAAGGAATGTAATAGTCTTCAAATATGTGTAAGTAGCTGCAGAGAGAAACACAATGGAATAATCTCCAAATCCTTGCTGAGTAGGACAAGATGTAATGGCTTAAATTGCAAGGGTAGGTAGGATGTTAGGAAACAGTTTCTAACTGATCTGAGAAATACTGTTCTAAACTGTTTAAGGACATGGTAAATTTTCCTTTGTTAGTAATTTCTAAGTCTCTCTTACCAGAACATATGTCCACTATGGTACACTGTAATTAATCATAGAATCGTAGAATGGTTTGGATTGGAAGCGACCTTAAAGACCATCTAGTTCCAACCCTTCTGCCAGCTCTGGAGCCCCTAGCACAAGAAGGACATGGAACTCTTGGAGAGGGTCCAGAGGAGGGCTACAAAAATGATCCGAGGGCTGGACACAGGACTACACATGGGTTCTCACCAGAGCGGAGCAAAGGGGCAGAATCCTCTCCCTCGACCTGCTGGCCACATTGCTTTTGATGCAGCCCAGGATTTGATTGGCCTTCTGAGCTGTGAGCCCACATTGCTGCGTCTTGTTGAGCTTCTCATCAACAAACATCCCCAAGTCCTTCTCCTCAGGGCTGCTCTCAATTCATTCTCCTCCCAGCCTTTATTTGTGCTTGGGATTGCCCCGACCCAGGTGCAGGACCTTGCACTTGGCTTTGCTGAACTTCATGAGGTTCACACAGGCCCATGTCTCAAGCCTGTCCAGGTCCCCCTGCATGGCATCTCTTCGCTCCAGCGTGTCGACCATACCGCATCCTGTCTCAGCACCATGGAATTTGCCATATGATTTCAGGTGGTCTTTCCCAGTTATATTTTCAATCATTCTGCTGCATGCACAGCAAATCACAAAGAATGCATCCTTCTGTAGATGACTTCTTACAGGAAAAATTCCCTTGCTGAGATCCAGGCAATACATTTACAGACAGCAGGAACAGCTCACACCAACACAGACTAAACTGTGGCGGGCAGCTTATGCTAGCAAATAGCTCCAGTTCAGCAACTTGGCCTAACTACTTGCTGAACTATGTGGCCATTGAACGTTAATCAGGTTGATGAGTCTAGAAACAATTCAGCAACAGCCTAGTCTCATTACGAATTGCAATATGTATTATGTATAACCAAAAAAAGTCTTTACACTGTAAACAGAAAGAAGCACCCTGGGTCTCCCTGTTAGTTCAATTCTGAAATGGGAGGAAAAGATCAATATTGCATTTCCATTTAGACCTGTTCCTACAGTTTTATGTCCTGAGGCAGGTCTTAATCAAGGTCACTTACTAAAGGTGTCTCTTGGCTGCACTGAACTTGAAGAGCAAATTAAGGTGGATTCTGGCTGCAGTGCTTGACTGTCTGGGTATACTGAGAAAATCCTGGAGACTAAAAGCAAAATAACTTTCAGATGAGGGTTAAACTTGCACAGCCTATCACACAGAAGAAATATGAATCATGGATTTCAAAAGAAATCCTCCAAATTTTACATTCCAGAGTCCAAACTGCAAGAAAATTGACTATATTTATGGCTATTGTGTGCCATTGAAAATAATTTTGTTATTCTATATCTGCCTATGTGCTCTTACACTCTAGTTATATCCACCTCCATTCTTAAAATACACAAGAGCGAGTTAAAAGTGGGGATGTTTGAGCAAGTAACATTTTGACTCAACAGATAAGCCAAAATAAACCGCTTTTTCTCAGCCAAAAAAAACCAAACCCACATTTAGCCATTCTCGCTGGACATGCAGTGGTTTCAGAAGTCAACTACTCCATGCTTTTTGTGGCTGTTGCATTGAAAACCATGAGTCTAAAGTTTCATCTCACAGATTGCTTGAGGAGAAGAGGATGGCCTTCCCATTTTAACTACTAGCTTTAGGCTGAGATGCTAGCAAGAGACCACATTTCTACCTCTTCTGAGGAGGAGCAGCTGCAGAGGGAATTGAACCCCAAGTAAGGGTCATCTTTTAAACATTAAAACAGCTTCACACCAAGTTTTGCATTTTGGAACCACTTTGCTTTATGATCATTTAATTTTTGTATCAGTGAGAAAAGGGGAGGATGGTCTCTCTCTTGAAGCACTCTTCTGCTGGTACAATTTCCAGGTTTTCCCTTACCATAATGAGTATTGGAGTATTTTCAATAAGGTGGGACATCATATATAGGAGGGCAAGGAGCAACCCATCCTAGAAACTTCCCAGCAGGCATTCCTCTCCTTAGTTTCTTCAGGTACTATGCTTAAGGGCAAAAATGACAGCCCCTAGCTCTTTGTCAAGTCATGTAAAAGCAAGAAGAATAGGGCTCAGATACTTGTGTAGTAGCACTTTCAAAGAATTTTGAATACCAGCATGGGTAGCTGTACCGAGGTTTGACTACAGTATGGGATCAGGACATCCTTCTGGAAGGCAGCAGCAAGTTACAGGTCTGGGGAGGGAGAAGGAGGGTATCACTCACTATCTGAAGGGCTTGTTTCTTGAGTCAAAGTGGTGCAGTTTCAGCACCATTCGATTCTGAAATCAAGATGCTTTTTTCCTTTTCTTTTTTTCTTTTTTGCCAAGCAAAAATTTTCAGCAATTTTCAGTAAATTTGGATGACAAAAAAACCACCAAACCCAAAACCAAAAAACCCCAGCACCTCAAAAGAAAACCGAGAAGCAAAGACCCCTGACTCAGTTACACTGAGGGTCTTGTGGGTTTTGTCACCTTTGTACCCTTAATGTCCCTATTCTTTTGCCATACTTATTTCAAATGCTCACGAAAGGGTGCTGAGTCAGACCAAATTAATTAGATTTGCTGATAATTAATAATCAATAAGATCAAGAGGAGGTGTTAGGTGACGGTCTCTAGACCTGAGCATTGCAATCCATCATCACACATAAACTGAAAGACACATGAGATCATTTCCTCCTCTGTTTTATGTAGACAAGAAGCAGTGGTTCAACTGGCTGTCTTCTCTGTACTGATAGTTATGGTCAATATAAAGAATTCTCTCAAGTGTCCTTCAAACCAGCAACAGGAAGAAAAGCCAGAACTCTGTGGCTCTTGCGCAGAGAAGAAGTGATGTCCTCTGATAAATACAGCAGGACCATAAACCCTGTTCTGTGAGGTGTTGAACACTGACATAATCCTACCCAAAACCCTCAAGCCCCTCTGTAGTTGTTTCATCGTAAGTCTGACACCAAGTACAAAATAGCTGTCAGTAACATGCATCTGAGAGAGAAAAACTGTTGAAATACGGATGTGTGGAATAACCTTTCTGTCACAGTAACTAAAATGTTTGTGCACAGAACTGAATTATCTTTTCTCTGATTTAAATCTGGCTTAAGATGCGTTTTCTTGTAAGACTGCTGTTTGAAAGGCAAAGTAGACAGGCGGTTGGATTCTTGCCACCACAGACCCCAGCTACAGCCATTCACCCTTGCTACAGTCCATGCTCTGGTGTGACACTCAGGTTTCCCTGAGTTTGATGAACTTGATAATGCAGTTTGCCTGTCATGTCTGGTTTTGACTGACAATTTTATTACATTCAGCATGTTGAAAGAAAGGGAAACGAAACTAAAACATAATCCACACTTTCCACTGTATCAAAAATTAAGCCAGAAGGAAAAGCAAAACAATTATACTTAAAAATTGCAAAAAATGTAAGGCAAATGAATGCATGGCTATGCCTGGCTACTTGCTGCAGCTATTTGATTAGGAGTAGCAGTGTTTTGGGGAGGAATCATGGTATAGGTTAAGTCAGTACTACACTGGGTAGGAAGACCTCTAGCAACACCTAGGACCTTCTGGGCCCCAGGCAAGGATTGTACAAAAAGGATTTGGATGTCCAAGTCACCCTAGACTACGTGAACCGGGAGAAAAAACACAGAGGAGGGCTGTTAGAGGGATAAAGGGTGTTAGAAGCATATGAGGGAGAAATCTTCACACAGGTAACTTTGGTTGTTGGCATAGTGGTACCAGAGTTGCCATCATTTTGGGATAATCCAGGGGAACTGCATTAATACAGTTTTGTTGGGGAGGCAGATCTAGCTGGAGGAGAGGATGTTTGTGCATGTATTTTGCATAAGCCACCATGTATGTAATCTAATGCAAGCTTTTATAGACAACCCAGAACACTGTCTGATTGTTCTTTTGTTTGTTTAACTCTGGTTATAGTGGAATTAGAAATATCAAATCAAGAAACTGGCTCAGTCATATAAATGTAGTGACTATTGGTATTCATTTTGTTTCTTTACAGCTGGCATATATAGGCTACTTGATGCTGTTCAATTATATAGTGTTAGTGAAGATGGATCGCTGGCCATCTACACAGGAATGGATTGTCATCTCATATATTTTCACTCTGGGAATAGAGAAGATGAGAGAGGTAAAATCACCCCAACCAAGAAAGACAGAACAAAAAAATAAATAAGTGTGTTTTTTTTCATTTTAATATCTGTTTTTATTATTTTTCTCAGGATAATTTTTGAGGAACAGGCTTACCATAATATTGCTCTTTTTTGCAGAAGAGCAGATGGATTGTTAAAAACACAGCACCAAAAACTCCATCTTCCTCCATTTAAAAATCAAAAATCTCTCTCTTTCTTTCTCCCACAGAATTTCTCTGTTCAGATTTCTGTGTAATGCACGTTTAATGGCATTCCCAAGTATTGGGGCGATCTTCTCACATATCTCACATATCTGAGTCTAAAGTTCAGCTATATCCCATCAAATGTGGCCTGAAACTGAAGTATGTTTCAGGGAGAGGGAAAGGAGATATGATACAACAAAATGGAGAAGGAGACATGGTGACAGCAGGACAACTGAAAAGCCCATGTTTGAATCCTCACCCCAAACAGAGTTCATTCAATATTTGCAACTGTTCTGTCTGTCCACATATCTCATGCAAAGGCCTTAAATAAAACCAGCCCTAACTGTGGAAAAATTCAGATCCACGTTGAATGTTGCAGCATATTTCTAACAAGATTTCCCCCTTGTATTCTTGAAAATTTTTGCTAATTATGTCAAGCAATAACATCCATCTCCCTAAAGATGCCAAAGCAGACATGCAGCGCAGAGACAGAGCATTTAAGGTGGCACTTAGTCTATAAGCAGAGTGAAGTTGTTCTGCCATCCCCTGCCCCTCATGTTCTTCCCCACTTGCAGCTACGGTTGTGCTCTTTTCACTTGGCCAAATGTGAATTTATTCCACAATGACACCAGAGGCCAAATTCAGCCCTGATGTGAGTGGGTGCGGGTCCCATTGACCGCAGCTGAAACAGCACATTTGCACCCCTGGGCTGAATTTGTTACCATCTACTTTTGTATTTTCTGCAGCAAATGCTTTTGAGAACTGGACAAAAAATGGTCTTGCAACAGCCACTTTGACTTCAACGACAGATTTCAAGCACTGTACAGTAAACTCTACATTATAATTAAAAATAATAGAGGAAAAGACGCTACTTCTGTGTACATATTGAGTGTACATCACTAACCAAAACACAAAGCAAAACAGTGGCAGTAGCCACATGAGGACTCTGCAACACTGATGGAGGCAAAGCACCACTGGCTCAGTAGGTGGGAGGCTGCTGGCAGGAATCGCGTGTGCCATTTTTGTCTTATCATTCACCTCAAATTGTCCTTTCCACAAAAGTTTATCAAGAACATTTGTCGGAATGGATTTGTAAGCAGATGTTGGAGATTGTTCACAGAAGATGAGTCTAAAATTCATTCTGAAAATGAATTATAAGAAAATTATAAGAATGGCATTCAGCTTTTTAAGGAACTGTATGAGTCTGCTCAAATGTTCTCGGGCTAAATATAGAAAACTAAAACAAACAGCTTGTTAACTCACAAAAAGCTAGGAATTACTCATAGAAATCACTTGAGGAATAGTTTCAACAGTAATTCAGGAAAACAATCAAGTCTCCCAAATGATCTTGCAAATAGAATGACGATAAATTCATAAGGTAAGATTAATTATTTTTGTGAATTATATTCGCAGCTGTGGAACTTAATTTCCAAAACCAGGTCCAAGCAGTAGCTAGCATCTCTCTGTATTAAATGCTAAATCCAGATCTTTATGGTTATTAATTATTTCTTGACAGTTTGATACACAATTCAGAATAATTTTCTTTAAATCTACAGCTAATTTAAATGTGAATTTTCTGATGGGATATCTTTCTATATTTCTCCCTCCATTCCAAGACTCTAAGTAGGGTCATTAAATTTGAAAAACAGAAAGTTATACACATATTTCTTCTGATTTCATGGGTATTTTAGAGTGAGTGAGGGTTTCATCATTTTTCTTTTAAGTATCTTGCACATAGATACAGGCTAAGAATGGTTGAAATGGAAGATTTTTTAAAAAAATCAGAAAGTACATGAGATATTTATATCATAGGAGTACATCAGCTTTGCTTTTGGCCTGTGTGGCATACATCTGTTTACTATAGATACTTCTTCAAGCTCAATTTAAGACAGCTCAGCTCATTTCCTCTCCTTGTCCTCTGTCTCTTAGATACTGATGTCAGAGCCTGGGAAACTGTTACAGAAAGTGAAAGTTTGGCTCCAGGAGTACTGGAATGTTACTGATCTCATAGCTATCCTCCTGTTCTCCGTTGGGATGGTGCTCCGTCTGCAAGATCTGCCACTCCGGAGCGATGGCCGAGTGATATACTGTGTTAACATCATTTACTGGTATATACGATTATTAGACATCTTCGGAGTAAACAAGTATTTGGGACCGTATGTTATGATGATTGGGAAAATGGTAAGAGAAATTGGTGTACTCCTTCTGTGTTTTACCAGGATGTTTTTCATTCAGTGTCTTTGGCCAAAGGCATCACTGCAGATTTATCTGTATTTTTTTCGCACATTATCATTTTCACATATGCCGGAATTCAGTGCCTTATTGAATTAAACCTCAGCATAGAGCCCCAGAATTGAGTATTAGACTCTGCCTGTTCTGTTAGATGATGTATTACTTGTCTTTCTCTAAGATCTGTCTTCAACAGCAAAGCCATCCATCCTATACCTCTGTGCCTCATTTGCAGAAAATACAAAGGACAGTAATTATAAACTAGTTGTAAAGGAGAGTGGTTTGTTAAGGTTAAAAAAAAAGTGTTTGGTACCCTGAGACTCTCAAAGACATTGAGTTGTAATAGGTGTAGTATGTTCAAAATTATAGTGCTTATGACTAAGACTGTGACCTTTCCGTAGTTTGCTCCATGTCTATACATTCTTCCATCATTCCTGTTCAGGTGTGTCCTTGTGAGATGAGAAATCCATGGCCATAACTGCAGCCTCTGTCCCCTGGGCGCATCACACGTACAAAACATGTCAGGAGTATGAATAGTTTATGTAACAGCAAATGCATACAGGAGGAACCAAGAGATATTTGCTGCCAGATGTATAATTTTTGACTTTTGACTTTTTCTTTTTACATTTCAGCAGAAATGTTGCATTAAAGCAAAATTATGCTTGTATGAGTTAAGGAAAATGGCTGAGTTTACAGATGCACATGCACATGTCCCTGATATTTGAGGATCTGCACATGTAGTAATATGCATGCTTATGTTTTATATGCATTTATCTAGCCTTTGTTATGTAAATCATGGCTATTGCATGCATTCTAGGGTTTAAGATTTATTTTCTTAAAAGTTAGAATAAAAAACCCTTCAAGCTCACATTCAGTAAAAAAAGTAAACTGAATATTAACGTTTGTAAATACAAATGTTACTGCTGCTTTGTTACTGTCTGATTGCTATGTGGACAATAATCAGCGGGTTCAAATAGGCTGCTGTGTTTGCATTACCATGGTCCTTAAAGAAAAGATCCGGATACCCTTCTTTCTCATCATCATAGGGAAAGGGAACATATGTGAATGCATGGACTACAAACCCTCCTTGATGCTACATTAGTCACAACAAGCTCAGTGATTCTAAGCAGGTATAAAACTGAAATGCAAAATACATGTCCAGTTAGGCCCCCTGCCCAACAGGTGACTGGAGAACCGTTGTCTTGTCCCTTCAGTTTACCAGCTTTCAACTCCAAACCCACAGTAGTGACTTTGACAAAGAAAGAACAGGTTAGTGAAAAAAAACCAAAAGATAGAGGGAAAACACTAAAGAAAGTGGTTATTCAATCCTGCAAACAAGAATGCCAATGGTATCCTGGGGTGCATTAAGAAGAGTGTGGCCAGCAGGTCAAGGGAAGTTCTTCAGTTCTGGTCTCCCCAGTTCAAGAAAGATGAGGAACTACTGGAGAGAGTCCAGCGGAGGGCTATGAGGATGATGAGGGGACCGGAGCATCTCACGTACGAGGAGAAGCTGAGGGAGCTGGGCTTGTTCAGCCTGAAGAAGAGAAGGCTGAGAGGGGACCTTACAAATGCTTACAAATATCTTAAGGGTGGGTGTCAAGAGGATGGGGCCAGACTCTTTTCAGTGGTGCCCAGTGACAGGACAAGGGGCAATGGGCACAAACTGAAGCATGGGAAGTTCCAGCTGAACATGAGGAAGAACTTTTTCACTCTGAGGGTGACGGAGCACTGGAACAGGCTGCCCAGGGAGGCTGTGGATTCTCCTTCTCTGGACATATTCAAGACCCACCTGGACAAGGTCCTGCGCAGCCTGCTGTAGGTGACCCTGCTTTGGCAGGGGGGTTGGACTAGATGACCCACAGAGGTCTCTTCCAATGCTGAACATTCTGTGATTTTGTGATTTTTAAGTGTGTTACCTTCCTTCAAGGAAGCCAGCATGATGTCGGTGGGAGGGATTTTGCAGAGCTGCAGAGTACAGAGGTGTAAACACTCAACATTTCTTGCTGGAGGTGACTGTAAAAGGACAGCAGGACAAGAGAGAGGACCGAAGACCAAAGGGAAAACACTGCATTATATTCTGTTTCTTTCCTGCCCCACCTGGACTGTGTCCCTCCATCAGGGGGTCTGGTTGTCACTGGGGCTTACACAATACACAGTGTATAAAACTCCTGAAAAACAACTACCTGCCTTCTCTGTTGTGTTTTTAACAGGTGCCATGCACAAAAGGTTCCAGAGCTGTGGTGGTAGCAAAGGCAGTCGGAAAACCAGTTCACTAATAAACAGATTGGCCATGAATAACAAACTACTAGTAGCCAGTGTTATGGATGACTGATAGGAGCCCAGCTTTACAAATAGTACAGACGGTGGTTTATTTTTCTCCTAGGGTCAACACAGAAAGGAAGTGGTTGAAATCAGCAAAATAATATTATTTCCATTCCTTTGTCATCCTCATATGTGTACAACAAATTAAACCTCTCTCCACTTTCCATGGAAAACAAATGCAGGAAATTCACTGGCCTCTGTAGGCTCAGCACCCACTCAGAGGGTGTTCAATTTAGCTACCAAAGTGCTCTGGAGGTGTGGGCAACTGTTAAAGAAGGGAAGTTCTTTTATTTTGTGCCTTCCTGTTATTTGATTTTCATACCTCATCCAACTTTCCATGCACTCAGCAACTCTGACACGTCCACTTTGACCACACATTCAATGCCCAACTGGTTTGAGTTACACAAATTTGGCTCTCATATCTATTTTCTGGCCAATTTATTCCCCTGTGTAATGGCCAGCCCATTTACATCATGCGCAGACTTCTCTGGGAGTTGCACCTTCTTGCTCCAGGCTGCAATGGGCTCCCCTGTGTATTTTTGTTTAAATCACATGTCCATTTACCTCCCTGGGTTCTGTCTTTTTCATTTCATGGTCTTGCAAGTACCATTCAGTACTATGGAGAACATCAGGCTGGTTATACGTATTACTACAGAGTAAGCGCATCACCGATATGCAGTTCCTCAACAGACCACACTTGACACCCGAAGTTTTATCCTGAGCTTCTATTGTGAGCGAGTTTTAGACTCAGGAGGAAAAGGATGACTCTAAGGAACTTTCTCTTCATCTGTCTCTACATTGTATCCAACAAAATAGCTGGAATAGGTTTTACCTCTGGGCACTGTGAACTAATATGCAAGAGGAATTAAGCAAGAGGCAGGAATGGGCTTGAGTGGTTTAAAAGCAGTGGGCTAAAGCTAAGGTGAAGATAGGAGGAGGAAGCTGAATGGCCAAGTTTATTACTATCTACTAATTTCTGTAACAGAATATGCTTACTACATGCTTTTCTGATCTCTACACAGTGATAGATTTACTCTGCTTTTATTTGGGAATGAAATGAAATCACTGTGGCATGTCAAGAGAGTCAGGGGTATATCAGTTCCCTTACTGTGCAGGAATGGCTACATTTTCTTAGCTTCTCCGCAAATAAAAAAGGGGGAATGGAGCCAGCTTGTTTATAAAACTGCGCCAACAGTTCCTTTTTTTATCACTTTTTAAAACAGGTAACCAATGAGTTCTTCAGAATGAGTGAAATGGCCATTGCCTTGTTAAAATAGAAAATGTAATTTGACCCTACAGGCCAAAGGGCCTGATACAATTCCCATTAGAATCAGTGGAAACTCACCCATCTATTTCACTGGATTTCAGAGAAGCTACTGGGGTTTTAGAGGATACCCAGCTGAAGGAGGGAAAAGCTAATATGCAGCTTCAATAGGGAATAGCACTGAAAATTTTATTTCTTGCAATACAAGGTCAAACCTGTGTGATTCCCAATCAGAAACACTGGAAGTATTTAAGACCTTGTCTTAAATTGCCACCTAATACTCATTATGTCTATTTGTTTGCATGACATGTTAAAATAGGTATTATATTACATCATATCATGTTATGTCTTTCTACCTGTAACAAAGTTTCATCAGAGAAGAAAGGAGGAACCAGGTTTCATCTCCAAATTCCTTCCCCAAAAGCAGTAAGAACTAAATATAATTATGCAGCTTTCCCATTTCAGGATGCTCTGTGAGGTACAATGATGTGGAATTCCTCTTCAGTCAGGTTTTCTTGAGAGATTAATGCCCCGAGTAACAGAAGAATGTTGGTGATTTACTTGTCTATTTTTTATTTCTTTAAGGCATTTATTTTCCTCTCTCATGTCTGCAGGGTTTTTTCCTTTCTTTCTTGCATTTTTTATGGACCTCAAGATTTTTGTTTTCCCCTGCTTTTTTTCACTTGTCCCCGGTTCCTTCTTTCCAGCTCCTTGTGTCTTTCGTACCAGAGGCCTGGCCTACAGCTATCTTTCTCCTACAGCCTCTCTGTCAGCAAATATGAGAATAACCTTTTTTGTTTGCTCCTCTATATCCCTCTCTTATCTCTGTTAGATACTTTCCCAGTGTTACTTTGACCTCAGGTCTCTCTCTTTGTGCTTTGAGACTGAAGAACCCTCACAGCAATGGCAGATCCATTTGCCGCAAGTCCCCTCTTCCACCAACTGTTGTCGTGGGAGCCGTGCTCTTGAGCTACAGCAGGTCCCCCACAGAGTGAGCGATACGGCCACTGGTTGGGATGCAGGCTGGCTGCACATCTGCCTCACAGGGAAGGCAGAACGCAACTGAGACAGAACATGCAGCAACTGAAAGGATTATAACCCATGAGATTTAGGGGAGTTTTGGGTCAAGTTTTGGACAGAGACAAAAGTGACATCCAAAGCTGTGAAAAACAGCTCTGTCATAACAAGACTTATAACAAAAGACCTATAAGTAAACCCGTAACTAGAGGTTTTAAAGAAGTCTTATCAGTGACCTTAAAGGACTCCAGTTTTTTTCCATTTGTTTTGGGTTATAAAGCATCTCTGCTGTACCTGCTTGATGTCCATCGCTCTGCTTTCTGTATGGTCTTTTCTACCACAGCTCTTCTTCTAATCTTCAGCACTGCCTAGGATTGCTGTCCCACTTTTTCCAGCAACATTTTTAATGGGTAGGCACTGTTTGCAAGCACTAATTAAATTTGTGCATATGTTAATGAGGCCTTCAACAGTGAAGAAGAATAAAGTTGAGTGTCTCTGTTATCTGCTTTGTTTTTTAAATATGGCCTTTGTCAGACTCCCCCACCAAGTTAATTTCTAGTCCAGCCAGTATCACAGCTTTCCTTTCTCACTGGTTACCACCATGATGTCCCTTATGTTGCATTAACAGGCTGTTCTGCCACCCGTTACTCCTTATGTTAGATGCAGCTTCCCTCCTTTGCTCCAAGACAGTGAGTTCCAGTGATTAAAATAATCTGTGTCAGCCCTTTTGTTTTGGTACAGTTGCCACTAGATGTCTATTAACAATACATCATCGCATGACCCTTACCCAGACCAGGCTGCTGATTCCAGTGAACCTTTATTCTTATTTAGGCAACTGATGAGACCAGATGGTATCTTGTATTTTCAAGCCTATTTATAACATTTAAATTGTTCTTAAAAGCAACACTGGCTAAAACCAAGGACACAATAATGCCACTTCTTTGAAAATGAAATTTGTAATGTGTAAAACTGAGAATGGGTTTTCAAAATTTGTTTTTGAAAATTGTGTTTCTAAGATTTACAAGCTTTTTTTGCAGCATATAATAATAGAAATATGGGCAAATAAGTTCCTCTAATTCTTGTCCCTTCTCTCTCTCTCTCTTTTCCTGCTATTACATTCAGATGATAGACATGATGTACTTTGTCATCATCATGTTGGTGGTTCTGATGAGCTTTGGTGTTGCAAGACAGGCTATTCTCTTCCCCAACGAGGAGCCTTCGTGGAAGCTGGCGAAAAACATCTTTTACATGCCTTATTGGATGATCTATGGGGAAGTGTTTGCAGACCAGATAGACCGTAAGCAAGTTTATGATTCTCATACTCCAAAGTCAGGTATCCAACTTTGATCAGATGACGTCCTATTAGATCATATGTGTGTGCTCAATAAATGGCTCAGGATAGAGGAACTCCTGCATCACAGAGAATGGTCACAAAATTATTTTTTAAGCTAATATTGGGGTGTCGGTTTCGGAACATGCTTCTGGCATCACTTTGCAATTATTTAGTCAGAAATCTGTAATGCTGAATTATCTTGCATGTAACGAATGTTGAAGATGGTTCCTTTTTACCAGCTGGGTGGCAGGGATACACTCCCAGGTATTCACCATGAGTTCACTGGTATGCCTGGGGCATAAAAAAGTCACTTCTTTTTTTCTCATCCATTTGTTTGATATTAGACTTAAATACTTTTTACCTAACTTCATACTGAGCATCAAGTCTGATAATACTGGGTTAGACCTTCAGCTCCTGCTCTTCCTGAGGATCTAATCCAATCTGTTTCTTTCTTCTGTTACCTACTCACTGCCACCACCTTTACGCTAAACCATGTGATACAGTTCTTTGGGGACAGTAGATCCATTATTAGAACTTTGCTTTATTCATTTATTTTAAGGCCAGACTGTGCTCACACCAGTGCAAACAGAATGAAAGCCAGTATTTCATATACCATCTCCTCAGGATTCATTTGGCTGGTGATCAGGAAATTGCCAGTTTTCTATTTAAGTTAAACCTCCTGGTGCCACCCAGTGCATTATGCCAAAGGAGAAGGGTGGTCTTGAGAAATGATGTGATAGATGAACAAACTAAGAATCACAAAGAATGTCTCTTCAGCAAACACTGACATGCAGCCGACGTTCATCCTTCCTGCTTAAATATGCGTAAGCCTTGGCAGCATATAGAAGTGAGTATCTTTTCCAGTGGCAGAAGGCATCCATTAAAGCTCTGCTTAGGATATTCTTTTTTTATCCTACATACCACCTTAGTAAAGGGCCGTGTTTTCATAATTTATCTTCTGCTTGTTCAGTATTGACCAAGTTTGAATGGAAAAAAGGTGTTGATTTTTCCTGAGCTGGTTAAGGTAATACATGTACCTGTATCACCAATAATCCCCCCAACTTAATGGAGTTTCAGATGGACAGATGTATACATATCACATGGCAGATTCTTCAGAAGTTCCATGCTCATTTCTTCTTCCTGGTTAGCACCTAATCATTAATGTGGATACAGATGAAACCTCTTTTTTATGTTTACTTCCCCACTTTGTTTTCAGAGGAAGCATGGCATGTAACAAACAAACACCTAAAATCACAAAGCTGCTCACTGAGTTTAGCTTTTTACTCGATTCCCTCATTTTTATCATTTTTCTTTTTCTTTTCTTTTTAAAAATCCATTTCATTCCAAAGGCATAATAGCTGGGGGTATAAAAACTCATCTTGCTCCAAAAGCATAATAGAGGGATAAAGGTTTATAACATTAAACTAGTTCTTCCTTCCACAAGCAGAATTCTGTTTGTCCCTCTACAAGTGGCCATTTATTGATGTTGTACTAAGTAACTACCATAGTGCAACAAACATGACAATTGGCTGAATAAAAAGTTCTTGGTATTTTTTTAATGAAGTGCTGATTGTAGTTTAGAACCCCAAAACCTGAGAAACTAAAGTGTCTTTCAATGAAGCATGGTTTTTAAGTATGAGAAGAGGGTGGCAGGCTCCATACCCTTGCCTGAGGATTTAGGGATAATCTTGTGTGTTGTTCAGATGCCCAGCATTTAAACCTTTCAAAAAGGTGCAGTGTAATCATTTGTGAGTCTTAAGGAAAGCAAAATTCCTGATGGTTTCAACTCCAGCTATAAGTGTAGACATGTTGTTGTTCTGTCTGTGTCAAGGAAACTAGGAGTTGTGGCAAAAGTGGTGATGCCAAAATGAATAGCAGCACCTAGTTCCTCCTTCCTGAGAGACAGATGATGCAGGGAATTAGAATCTGCCACTCTTTCAGCACAAAGTATGTGCAATATGTCATGTCTGTCTGAGGCTCAGTTGTCTCAAAAGTGTTACCTCTGGAATAGACTGGGAGCATGAGCAAATGGTTGGTGATGTTGTTATACAATCAAAATTCCCTGATTGGCACCCAAAAGGTTTTACTAGTATACTTACATTTTTTCACTATTTCAAAATCTGTTGTTATATATATTTTCCAAATTGTTCTAAGCTAAATCAGCCACTGTATTCATGTTAGAGTACTACAGTGTTTGTACTTTCTCAAATAAGATAAACATCTTCTAAAACTGTAATGCTACATTTAAAGTGCAATTGAACTTTATAGCTTTGAGCAGATTTTTTTTGTTACTATTATTTTAGCAAATGAAAAGGGTTTCTTTGTGGTTTTCTTTATATTTTGGTGTTTAATATTGCAACATTATTTGCAAGTTTGTGACTCAGCAAAAGTGCTGATCTGCTTCTGGAGATTATCCTAGTGTCTGAGAAATGTACAAACAAAGTATGTTACTCTAAAATTTCTAACTTACTTTTCTTTTTTTTTTTTCTTTCATTTTCTGTTGATTTGTGAAGCATGCCATTAAGGCTGACCAGATACAGTGTCTGGATCCATCTCATCAGCTGGCAGCCTGTCCATCCAGTGGGTCTGCTCTGATTTTTATCTCAACACCGCACTGTTAAAACACTAGCTAAATGCCTCGCTCTAAAATAATTCATGTCATATACATTTACATTTTTTACCCATGATTTCTGTATTCATTTCATTTTTTAAATACGTATGTTAACTGGAGTGTGCATTTAGTGTCCTGTTGGCATGTGATCTCATCCTCAACTCAAAAGTGGGGACAAAACTATATCCTCACTTCTGGGAGTATGAATACACTATTCAGTGGTGTTGTTTATTATCAGTGATGTACCTGAATACAACATTCCTATAAATTCCTACCAATCAATTAAGGGGGAGGGGAGGGTGTGTGGAATAACCGAAGTAGAACTCTTCGAACTGTGTTCAAATTCTCAGGTAAATTCAATAAAAAGAGCAAAACCAGTCTCAAAGTGGTTCCTCTCAGACTGACAGTTCTTCACAGCTGCATTATCTCGGGGAGGAGGGGAGGTCTGGGAACCGGTGATGGTATATATGCAACTGTCTCTTCCAGGCTGTCTTTCCTAATCCAGCTGAGCCTTGTGCTGCCGGATGGGATCCATGGGGCAGCAGCCAGCTGCTTAGCTGCTTTAGTGAATGCCTGTCTGGAAGGAAATCCACAAACGCTGTAAAATCTTCTCCTCAGTTGACCTCACACAGTTGTGACATGCAAAGAACGTTGTTTTCAGTTTACCAAGCTATCTGCCTCTCCAGAATACCATGGATACAGAAGTACTTAAAAATGCTGAAGAAGAAAGGATTATTCAGGGAGTGAGTTTGCTTGGTGAAAAATGTAGATAGATGACATAAGAGGCAACTTGAGAAAATGCAGCCACCTGTAGAAAATCAGCATCAGACCTCACATTTTTCTATATTCAGAAGGCAAAGCAACTGAGAGTGCTGTTAGCCAATATGGGTTTGGGTTTTTTGGTTTGGGCTGTTTTTGAGACTTGCCTGGTGTCTCACATGTCAGATTTGCATCTGGATTTTCTTTCCAGCTGACACTATTTCAAGTGCCATCTGGAATCTGAAGATCAGTCTGAGTTGTGTTTGTTCCATGTGCCTACTCCCTTACTGGAAAAACCTACATAGTTTAAGAGAAAAAGACGAGGCCTCCTTCTCTTTCACTTATCTTGGAGGAATGTCAAGTAACAAGAATACAGTTGTTTCAGAAGATGAGAGATTATTATACACAGGTTTTAACTATCCAATGAACTTAAGAGGAAAGTATAATTACTACCAAAGACTGTTTTTTATATTCTTTAGATTTCTTAGTCTATTAGATTTATTTATTTTTAAAAGTTCTTGAAGGTGTCTTAGTATAAATGAATATTTTATACTAAATTCTATACGATGCTTTTCATGTCTCTGTAGGAGCTTCCTGTAAGAGCTGTCATTTGCGTGGATCATTCTGGAATTCGAACAAATAGAGCAGCTTTGCACAAAACAGAATAAACCACACCTGTGCACTTTTTTTGCCTTTTTTTTTGTCATCTTGTATTGCAGCTCTGCAGCACAGGGAGTATTTTTAGCATTGTTAGACAAAGGCAGAGGATAAAATTTGTGCACAGCCTACACACCATTTTGAAAGTAGTAGCAGTGAGAGTACTCAACATGGATTCACCAAGGGCAAATCATGCTTGACCAATCTGACAGCTTTAATGATGGCATGACTGGCTGGGTAGATGAGGGGAGAGCAGTGGATGTTGTCTACTGCGACTTCAGCAAGGCTTTCGACGCTGTCTCCCATAACAACCTAATAGGCAACCTAAGGAAGTGTGGGCTGGAGGAGTAGTCGGTGAGGTTCACTGAGAACTGGCTGAATGGCAGAGCTCAGAGTGCTGTCATCGGCGGCGATGAGTCTAGTTGGAGGACTGTAACCCCCCCAGGGGTCAATACTTTGCCCAGTCTTATTCAACTTATTCATCAATGACTTGGATGAAGACTTAGAATGTACCCTCAGCAAGTTTGCAGATAACACAAAACTGGGAGGAGTGGTGGATACACCAGAAGGCTGTGCTGCCATTCAGCGAGACCTGGGCAGGCTGGAAAGTTGGGCAGAGAGGAACCTGGATGAAATCCAACAAGGGCAAGTACAGGGTCCTGCACCTGGGGAGGAACAACCCCATGCACCAGTACAGGCTTGGGGTGGACCTGCTGGAGAGCAGCTCTGCAGAGAGGGACCTGGTTGTCCTGGTGGAAAACAGGTTAACCATGAGCCAGCAGTGTGCCCTGGCTGCCAAGAAGGCCAATGGGATCCTGGGATGCATTAAGAAGAGTGTGGCCAGCAGGTCAAGGGAGGTTCTCCTTCCCCTCTACTCTGCCCTAGTGAGGCCCCATCTGGAGTACTCTGTCCAGTTCTGGGCTCCCCACTTCAAGAAAGATGAGGAGCTACTGGAGAGTGTCCAGCCAAGGGC